CGACCAGCAAGACTTTGCTGGCTTGGAAACAGAAAGATCCAATTACCAAAAGTAGACTAGAATCTGTAATCATGCGGATTGGTGTAAGTCCGTGTGGCAGTCGGCAACCAACAGTTAGTTTGGCAACTGGTGGCCAGTAGACTAACTAGTGGTGGTATCTGGTGTTATCAGATGAGGTCCCTCAAGTTAAATCTAGCTTTGGAAACCAGTAAAACGTCAGGGTGACGATGAAACATTGCAACAGAGTAGCATGTTTTCTGAGTAGAAGAGTTTGGACGAATATGATTGGAGGTACCGGTACGAGTATGGATTAACAGTGCTTGTCAATTACTTTTTGGTATCCATGGCCACATGGACGCTTTGTCAACTCACAGAAATCTTGGGGAAGGCAGCTCTTTCTTAATGCTTTCTCCTTACGACGAAGGCTTCCGGTTGTGGAAACGATCGATATTAGGTGTTCGATGGTCTTTACCTGATATTAGAGCTCATATTTATTGTGTCGCTTGTCATTTCCACGACACAGAAAAAAGATTTTGGGTTGCAAAGTTGAGAATTAATATTAAGTGTAGTGAAGGACAAGTTGAAGTTTATCGACCACTAAGTAGAAGGCCTTGGGGACTAAAAAATCAGCTCAGCACTTGCTCAGAAGAATGTTCAAATTCGGGTATCATACCAGTTACCAGGTAACGGCAGGGACTGGTACCTAGCTACCGGTAGCTAGAAAACTTTCCTTGGATGGTTGTGATAGCTGTCGTGATACCCTTGACTTACCATTTCCATTCCTTCTTTTAGCATGGTCACCTGCTCCAGTGACCTTGCATGCTATATTTATTAATACTTTATCGCTTACATTGCTCCAGATTCTCTGTGCAGATAGTTTTTCTGTATGCTATATCACTCGTTAGAGCTCTCAGTACGAAAGTACAGTTACCGAGACTTACTGCACGATAGACTCCTTTGCCGCACTATGCTAGACTTCTTATCATTAGTACTCTCTCTGCGATAGCGGCTATCAAGTCAAATAGAGTCATATTGCTCATTGTGACAGAGCATAGGCTTCTATGTCGGACCAGTGGACTTATCTCTTCACGCACTCTGAGTTTCTTCTCTCTTACGCACATTGGAGTTATGGTGATTATCTCTTACAGTACCGACAAGTAGGAACGCAAGGTCTTCCAGGAGCTTTTACTCTTCGTAGCTTTCTGAGCTAAGGAGACTAATCTTCACCGTGAAAACACAATTTTCCTCTAAAAGCATTTTATACAGTATTCTTTCAGTGCTTAGTCATATATGTTGGCGTAACCCAGGTTTTGTTCCCGTACTGCGGCTTGGCGGCAAAGAGCAGTGAGGGCATCGCGAGCATAATAAAAGAGTTTCATCCTATGTAATTGGACTAACCATTCATTGTGCGCTCCTGGACTAAGTAGCACTAGAGATTTTCGGAGCTCTAGGAGCATATGTGTACATCCTTTCACCTTGTCTAGCTGCTGAGGTACTGGGATGAGTCAGTAGAGTATTTTGCGGTAGGTATGAGTCGTAGGACTAGACTAGCTAGCATAGCTGCATGGATAATGTAGCAGAACTTATGGTGCTATGTAGTCCTCTATGGAAGGCAAGGATTCGCGCAGTGATATCTACGATTGTGTGCATTTCCTCTCTTCAGCTATCTGAATCAAGATGTCATGACTGAATCCCATTGGCTTGTACGTATGACTGTATCATTAGATCCGTTGCATTTCAGCACAGTGTCTTCTAGAGACACGAGTCAAATCTCATTGTGGTGTCGCGCACTGTTATGAGAGTTCGGCTTATGTGTGTCGGACCGTTAGCGGGTCTTTAGCTCAGTGCCACTCGGACCATATTCACTCAAGATTGCATTCGGCCACGAGCTAGCATTGCTATGGGTAATTCTCGCACGATTGTGTTCTATGCAATAATGGGTTCATACAGTGGTTTATTAACGTACTAATTGCATCTTTATGCTCGTGAGAGGGATGAGGACTTCTGGGAGTCTGCGCATCTGTGTTCATTATCTACTCAGATTATCGAGCACGGGGACATAGAGTCACTATCGCTAGGCTCGTGACGCCAGTGTCAGCATAGTGTGCATTTGAGCGTACTCTACCGCGCACCGCTTGCAGAAGACTGTTCGGCTATGTCTCATTACATTGATGCGACGTTTGTCACTGATTTGGCTTCGATCGTCTCTCTGCTTAGTTTTAGCGCAATAATGAGTATACTCTATAGTCCTGTGATAAGGCGCATCTTGACACTCCACCATGAGTAGACGTTGTATATGCAGGCCTATGCCTCTGTAGCGCATTCGTCATCCGCTACAGGCACATGCAGGGAATGTACGATAGCTAGAAGACTCGAGCTGGCGAGCTATATACGTATCTGTGTACTCATACTGTAGTGATAGCCGCTAGTCGAAATTCAGATACAGTAGCTAGTTCTATATAGACGCATGCAGTTTTGAGCAATCTTGATCGGTTGTAGGCCTCTTTTGTATTGAGTTGTGGCGACGACGAGACCAAACAACACCAACTTGGTAGATGTCATTCCTACTGATGATTACTTCCAACCGCGTCTTCGTCTGTGGGAAATCGAGAATTTCGACGACTAGACGATCGCCATGGTGTGCTTTCCCATTCGATGCGAGTTGCTAATTACTGTAAAGGCTTGGGCTATTTGATGCTTGAGCGCATTGTGGTGGTACCACAGGCTACCTGAGTGTTATCATACTAGGCGCTTTCGCTAGGGACCTCGTCTGTCTTTATGTCTGTTCATTTCGCGGACCAGTATACCTCTAACTTTATTATACTTCATTTCTAATTGATCTTAGTTCCGACATATATTATTCGCGTGGGTCTCTGCGAAGCACGTGTCTCTCTCATGATTGGCGGAACAGCAGTTTACATCCGGCGTATATCAATGTGCCAATGGCAATCCTTTTACGGTGTTTTTGCCATTGCCGCCAATTCCTGGATGAATCTGGTCGTTGCCCAACAACTATTTCGGATGCTCACATTGGGACAACGCTTTCGACGCTATCAACCACCGTCGGGGCGACTCATTCTCACGCAAGCATGCGCCGTCTATATCTACGCCGGGCTCTTGGCCGCAATGGCACTCTTTGATGCTCCCTGGTGGCCGCACAAGACCCGACTTGCCATGGGAGCCTTTTGCATCCCCATGGATTACGATACTACCAGTACCGTCGTCTTTTACGTCCTCTTTTTCCCCTTGCTATTTGGGATACCACTGCTCTACGTGTGTTGGGTCGCCTTTCAGATTTGGTATCAAAACTTATTGCCAGCGGCAGGACGACGACGCATCTTGGCCATTTACTTTTTCCGACTTTTTGCCGTCTTTGTCGTCATGTGGTTGCCGGCATTGATTCTCATGTTTGTCACATCGCCCTTTATGGATCCGTGGTTCCAGTTTGCCGGAGGAGCGTGGAGTCACATGCAAGGCGTCGTGTCGGCCGTGGTGAGTTGGTGGAAACCCGATATCGGTCAAGCCGTCTACGTATTCTGGACGTGTCAACATTGGAGAACGCAGAAGAATGCAAGTAATGACAACAAAGATGGGGCCAATAGTCATACAAACAACAACAACAACAGGACACTGATGATGACGATACTTCCGTCGTGACGGTAGGATTTGGTGCCTGGACCTTTGTGTCATGGAACATTTTGGGAAGCCTTCGGAATAGCACCAGCACGGCCTTTAATATCGACGACGAAGACGATGGTATCGAATCGGAAATCAAACGCATTAGTGCCATCAAGATTGAATGGGATGCCGAAATGATGTTGGGAAACGACTTTCAGTATAGTGCAGGACACACGTCACCAGCAAACAACAACCACGCAAGAGTCGCAACGGAACGTTTGCCCAGTTCCAACAATCAGTCAAATGTTCCGTTCCATCCACCAGCCAGGGTAAACGATGAACAATGATGACGATGACGATGATTCCTATCAAGTGCCACTGGGATGGTCCACGAATGGCCCTGTAGTAGACGATGAACACCTAGCCACAGCGGCGCCACAAGGCCAGCACGATGACGATAAGGAACGGTACCACGACCAACACGACATTGAGTCGGGACGCAACGAACGGACACTCCATCCCAACTCAACAAACAATCGCCTGGGCAGAACGGTCCCGTGGGTCATACCCAACAACTCGACAAAAAAGAACAAACACCCCAGCAGAACGCTCCAGTGGATGGCCAACTCCACAAAGCATCGCCGGTGGAGAATCCTAAGAACCAAGACGGTTTTGAAAAGCAGACACAGCCAACAACGAGCAAAGACAACAATACACCTTTCATCAATCCACCCAATCCCGCAATCCGGGAGAACGAGCTAGATATCAGTGACCTGTCTTTACCACAGCACTCGCAAAGCTCGTACCTCGACATTAGTGGTCTTACACACAAATCACCTCCAAGTTCCCATCTAGATGTCAGCCAACTATCCTTCGAATCGTTTCCGTGAACTTCCATCTCCATCATGACGACTGTGATTCCATTTCATCCCCGACCAAAAGACCATTACGAGGGGCAAACGACAAGCATCATTTTGATTCCACATCTTCCATTCTGATTACGCTTCGACTTCCTTGAAGCAGGGCAACATCGAGTGCTCCCCGGGGCAGAAAACACAAGAAGACAGCCGCAATGTACATACAAGCGCTTTGGCAGGGTGTTCTGTCTCTCGCTAGCTAGCGGATCGACGAGATGTTGCGAACTTGTACAAACAGCAACGACGATTTTGAACCCCGTTGGCCGGGTCGTTAATCTCTACCGGTACCACCATGATTTCTGCCCTGCTGTTCGTTTCACCTCCGTTGGAAATCATCTCATGATGAGAATATAAGATCCGCTGCTACGATGATCTGCATCAACTGGCAATAGCTAGCCACGTTATATTTCCACTGGCAAGGAAAAGTCCTGAAAACCCAGTAAACAGAATATGTATAGGCACATTAAATTTTGAAAGTTTTAGTTCATCCATGTGTCGTGGACATACTATAGAAACCAGCGCACCGTCAAAAAAGAATCCGGGCAACAATCAGAGGTTGGGTCTGTTACAAGGCGGTCTTCGAAATGGTTGACGTGATGAGCGCCATTGTCGCCGCGTCTGAAAGAAGTTCGAAGCAAATCGTGATGTGCGCCTTCAAGCAACTTTCGGACTGTTCCCAGCTCGAAGGGTATAGAAGGTGCCTGACGCTAGACCCGACACTACGATGCAGGAACAACTGATTTGCACTGCTGATCTACCAACAATATTTAAACAGATGAAATTACTTCATGAATTTTAAAATAGACACCAGAGATATTCCGAACCAGATCCAGTCATTGCGCCCGGGAGTTGTCCTCAGGATCCGGTCCTGACTAGAACTCTAAAAAGTGGCAAAGGTACTGTACGCAACAACCTCACGAGCAAACTGCACATTCTTGTACAACGATTTAGCCGCACAACCACCTCCCAATTTCTCCACCCGAATCAGGTAATGCTCACCATGCGCTCAATCCATTCAAGCAAACAGCATCTGTAGCAAGGCGCCCTCCGATCGACAGTGTCACGCAGTGGCAGAATCTCAAAGAAACCCACCACGGGCAAGTGTTACCTCGAGAAGCGACACATTTTTAGCATAACGAAAAGGCTGCCTCATGCTTGTACCGTAGCTCTAAGCTCTCCTTCATTCTGCCAAGCATCCTTGCATTGGCTGCTTCCACATTGGGAACAAGAAATGTTTCTGAAAGATGGCATTCCATTTTGTACCCAACTGTAAACTTATTTCGCAGATTCTGAGGCAGGATTTTCCTCAGAATGGAAGCAAAGATGTTGACCATGGCTCCAGTGTTAAAGAACCTGCATTCCCCGTCAAACGGGTAGTGGGTCAGAAACTCCGAAAAGAACCTGCCAAAAAGTTTGTTGACATCTTTTCTCAAATCCATCTGCTCACATTCACAAGCACAAATGATCCCTTTGCGAATGGATTCAAAATCTGGAAAGAAGAGAATATGGGAGTAGTACATGAAAGTCAACCAATCCTCTTCCATTTTGGGTCTCGTAAACTTCTTTGGTTCAAACTTGCTGAAGTCATGCACAAAGATGTAGGTCCCATCTTGCTCACTGAACCCAAAGAACAATAAATGCTCTGGGAACAGTTTGAAAACCCATTCCATCATCTGAGATCCTTGTTTGTATCGGTTCTCAACCTTGTACTCATGCCGGAAATCCTGCATCATATAGCATCTATTCACAGCATCCTCCACGTCGTCCTTGCAGATAATGGCAAGCTGGGCATACATAAAGTCCGATAAATTGTCAAGATCCGGCATCCCCTCAATCTGTTCCTTGATGGCAAGAGCATTGTCGTGCTCTTCGGGTGTGAGCTTCATTCGATACGGATCATCACGGCTCAACTTCTCAGTAAGGTCTGCGGGATCTCGAAAGGCAGCTTCAGGATCTCCGTTGTTCAATACCGGCACGGGTAAGGGAACCACAGCTTGTGGGACAACCTGATTCATGGCGACGGAAAGGAGGAGCCGATAGGGATGGCTAACGAAAAAGCAGAGGGGAAAAGCGACCTGTTTTGGAACCTTTGGAGGCTGCACCGATTATAGAAATTAGTTTATGACTGACTATGTGATGCTCAAAGACGCAGGAACAACGCGAGGACAACCACCTGTGGTTTTGTTCCTTGATGACTGTGGACTTGCAATTATTGTAAATGGGATGGGGTGGCGCTGCTGGTTCAGCGAACAAAGGAACGAAAATAAATGGGAATTTGAGAATGGGTTGTGGTCAGGAAAGGTGTCTCGGGTAAGAATTCACGACCTTCTAGAAACCGGTACCTTTATTTCAAGGACACAGATCAAGACTTAATGACCAAAAAGGGCCTTGTTCCACTGTGCCTTAGACCTTGGACTACAGCATGGTACTAAGTATGCCAACAGCCATGAGACAGCTGAAGTTGACTTGTTAAGAATTAAGAGACACTCCCTTAAATCTCGCAAGGCAATTCTAACCAAAGCATCGCGGTGAACATGTATGTCATACATGTAGACTATCACTCATTGCACCGTCCAAAAGCAAGAGAAAATGAACACCTACATGTAGCTAGCGTTCAGCAAAATTAATATCACACCACAAAACAGACTTTCCTTCCCCTACTTTTTACAAGCGGACGTTACCTAGTACCGTTCCTTTCACGTAATCCCCTTTATAGTTATTTATTTATTTATTTATTTATTCTACCGGTTGTAGCCACATTTTATTGCCCATTCACATGTACATATTCCCTTTGCGGATGGATTCAAAATCTGGAAAGAAGAGGATGTATAACGGGAAAGTTACTACGGTATGGGTTGGAGGGAACTTTGATGAGGATGGGGTGCAGAGAGGGGAGGGCCGATTGCAGGAACACGAGCCAAGCAATCGAGTGTGCAAGCAGGGCAACATCGAAACCACCATGGAGAGGGTGGGAAGGTAGGAGGGCAGGGAGGAGTAAGACTAGCGGAACAGAGGAGGATGTGAATGTAGTACATCACACTCAACCCATAGCTCGTTCATTTTATGATATGTGAATGCCTTGGGTTCAAATTTGTTTAAATCATGCATGAAGACATAAGTCTCATCTGGTTCACTGAACCCAAACAGTAAAAATGCTCTGGGAAGAGTGTAAAGATCCAGTCCAGATTCTGACATGCTTGTTTGTATATCGGTTCTCAATCTTGTACTCTTGTCCATAGCACTGCATGGCATAGCAACAATTGGCAGCACACTCTACATCCTCCTTGCAGATAATGGCTAGATGGGCATACGTGAGATTCTTCTGCAACAGGAATACCTTACATTATGAAGAACCTATACCGGTATCATCTATGCGTTTGGTCATTGGCATCCCGCACAAGTGGGTGACTGATGGTACGGTACCTCGGGGGGAAGCGAGTCATTGGAATTGACATCCGAGCACGAGTACACGGCTCAACAGGAATCCAAGAGACAGGGCTCTACCGGTATGCAGTGGTCGGGCCATCATCTGCCATTGCAAGCGCAGACCAACATCGCATCCAATCCTGCCCCACTCAACGCTTCCCAAAGACCGAGACGAAAGAACACCTCATCAATCGCCTCGCACGGTTGGAGCTTGAGGTTCTTCACACCGAAGTTCCATGAGACAAGGAATTTCATCGACTCCCGTGTACTCCCAGATAGTCTTCCCCATTGTCATGAATGAAGCGCTCGATTTTGTCAACGATATCTGGCAGGTTCTCGCATTCAATCGCCCAGTCATGAAACGAGGAGTCCTCGTCATCGTTTTTGAATTGAACCACTATGCATCCGTTCCTTGCCTCCAGAGTAAAGTCAGTGAACATCCAGCGATGATAGCTCATCAACTTTGACAGTCGTATCCACAAATTCTGTCGACAAAAGTGCTGGAGGCTGCCATGTAGTGCTTCGCGTGCCATTAAATCACCCACTGGCGGACCAATGCTACAATGATTTTAGCCATCTCCTCTCCCTCCTCTCCGCTAGGTGGCAACGATACCCCCAATTCCCAGGTGGTGAACCACTCCTCTTTTCGAGCGTAGAAAAGACAGCCAAGACCGTCATCCCTGGGATTGATCTTGTTCCCATCAATGGCACTCTGCAACGCATGTAGGTCGTGATATGGCGCCTTGAGCTTTAAAAATGGCTTTCCCTTTGAATAATTATCACGTTGTTCAATTCTTTGGAACTGCTCCACAAAAATCGTGCCTAGATCTCTTTGGTCGTCACCATGACGGCGAGATTTCACCGCCACCATCAAGCTACTGATGACAGGAAAGCCAATCACCTCGGACATTCCGCCGGGAAACTCAGGAGCGAAACTGTCATTGGTTTGGTCAGTCAAGTTGTGGCGACCGTCCCAGCTGATGCGAAAGCAGTACGACTTGTGGGTTTTGGCGCACGCTACCGGAAAGGGAAGATTCACGAAAGCGTCCTTGTCATTGGTTAGGGGTGAACAGTCATTGAGAGCTTGCACGGCTCGAGGAGACAGGCAGCAATCCAAGACGGTGAGTATGGATGCTGTGTTTCCGAATGCGTGGAACCTAGTACTGTTTTACCGCAGGTCACCGAAGGTACCCCACCAACGGATGCAACATGACCGTCGATGATGCGGATCTCGCACGGGGGCAGGCACGTGTTCGGGAGGGATGTGGCTCTCCTGAAAACATCAAAAGTAATCAAAGAACTCCTGGCCCACCTCCACCGCCCCCCTAGGGAATAAGTGCTCTGTTGAGCCTGGTTCATGTTGTGCCACTATTATGGTTCCTGGCTTGATTTATCGATTGCTGCGTCCACCGAAGCTTTCAGCTCCAAAAAAGCGGGGGCGCAGTAGAGCTGGACTGTCTGTCGTGGTATCCCTAGAGCATACGGAGGAAGGCACGCGGCATACAAGTGGTATGGACGAATCCCATCGTCACCACTGACGAGCAACTGCACGCGGACTTGTTCCATTGCCTATTTTGTGTTCGCAACCTTTTGTGTGTTGTCTGTCTGCCTACGATGTACGCTGGGTGCGGCTAAAAAATTTATGGTGCCGTAGTTACGGTGAGCACGTTTGAGGCCGACGAAACTCCGAAAGAATCTGTCGCCAGCCTGAAAGCCAGTTGATTGTTCGATTCTTTTGCAACACGGGAACACATACTATTTTGAACCTAGCTATCTATCTACTGTATCATCCAACACACAGGTACAGACAAGTGGCTGACTTGCTTTGTGTACTGTACCTTGGGAGGAGCGAGCCAATGGTTGACACCCTCGGGAGCATTTGGTGTTTCTCCAGCACCAGCCAGCCAGTGGCAGCCACATGCTCCCTTATTACCGTACGAGCGAATGCGTATTGGCGGTGGGAGATGTGCTGTGCTTGCGAGGCCAAACAACAGACCCATCCATGAAGAGTACACGGCTCGGCAGGAAGGATCCAAAAGGCAGGAATCTACATGCCATGATTGCCTGCCTCGGGCAAAAGTCGTGGTCCAGTATCGTGGAATCGAAGCAAGTCGAGTTGTGCACCTTCAAGCAAATGTGCACCTTCAAGCAACTTTCGTACTGTTCCCAGCTCGAAGGGTATAGGGTACCCACCAGTAGAAACGACACTACAGTTTAGGTACAACTGATTCGTACTGCTGATCTACCAACAATATGTAAAGGGATGAAAGTACAGGGATGAAAGTACTTCGTGAACTAATGAAAACCAGAGATATTCCGAACCAGATCCAGTCATTGCGCCCGGGAGTTAGTTGTCCTCAGGTTCCAGTCCCGACATGAACACTGGAATGCTGCAAAAAGGTAACAACCTCACGAGCAAAGTTTAGATGCTTGTACAACAATTAGCCGCACGACCTCCTCCCAGTTTCTCCACTGGACTCAAGGTAATGCTAACATCCTCTGCATCTGTAGCAAGGCGCCCTCTGATTGCAGTGGCGGGCAAGAGTTACCTCGAGAAGCGACACATTTTTAGCATAACGAAAAGGCTGCCTCATGCTTGTACCGTAGCTCTAAGCTCTCCTTCATTCTGCCAAGCATCCTTGCATTGGCTGCTTCCACATTGGGAACAAGAAATGTTTCTGAAAGATGGCATTCCATTTTGTACCCGACTGTAAACTTATTTCGCAGATTCTGAGGCAGGATTTTCCTCAGAATGGAAGCAAAGATGTTGACCATGGCTCCAGTGTTAAAGAACCTGCATTCCCCGTCAAACGGGTAGTGTGTCAGAAACTCCGAAAAGAACCTGCCAAAAAGTTTGTTGACATCTTTTCTCAAGTCCATCTGCTCACATTCACAAGCACAAATGATCCCTTTGCGAATGGATTCAAAATCTGGAAAGAAGAGAATATGGGAGTAGTACATGAAAGTCAACCAATCCTCTTCCATTTTGGGTCTAGTAAACTTCTTTGGTTCAAACTTGCTGAAGTCATGCACAAAGATGTAGGTCCCATCTTGCTCACTGAACCCAAAGAACAATAAATGCTCTGGGAACAGTTTGAAAACCCATTCCATCATCTGAGATCCTTGTTTGTATCGGTTCTCAACCTTGTACTCATGCCGAAAATCCTGCATCGCATAGCATCTATTCACAGCACCTTCCACGTCGTCCTTGCAGATAATAGCAAGCTGGGCATACATAAAGTCCGATAAATTGTCAAGATCTGGCATCCCCTCAATCTGTTCCTTGATGGCAAAAGCATTGTCGTGCTCTTCGGGTGTGAGCTTCATTCGATCCGGATCATCACGGCTGAGCTTGGTGGAAAGGTCTGCTGGATCTCAAAAGGCAGCTTCAGGTTCCCCGCCCCCCTCGTTGTTCAATACTGGCGCTGGTAAGGGAACTACGGCTTGTGGGACAACCTGATTCATTGTGGCGGCTACGGTAATGACAAAGCAGAGGGAAAAGACGACCTGTTTGGAACCTTGGAGGCTGTACGGCTGTGTACTGATTGGAAATTATGTGGGGCTTTCTTGATGAGGCGCAGGAACGCTGCCACAACGAGAGAACAACAGGCGGTTTTGTGCCCTCACAAGAGCAAAGGGAAGAAGTCAGGTGACCGGTGACCGGTGACCGGTAAAGCATTTCAAGATTTCAAGACATTTAGCAAAAATAATAAGAGAAGCCGGTACTGCCACTCTTGGTTGGTATTTACTGAGTAAATCCGGGTTACTGGCTCCTTACTGTCCAATTACTGCCATTGTTGCCACCTAGTTACTGCAGTAAGTAATCCCATGCAGTAAGTAATCGGGCTATGCAACAGGAATATCAGTAAATGACAGTAAAATGACAGTAATTAGCCTATATTACTGCAAATACTGTTAGTTTACTGCCTTCAATTGGCTCTAAATTACTGTTATGATTACTGCTACTGAGAATTACTGCATTACTGCAATTACTGCTCCTTTACTGACCTCATGGCAGTAAGGAATAAACAGTAAATACCAACCAAGCTGCCACTGGCCAAAATTTATGACCGAAAAGAGGTTACGGTACTACTAGAGTCTAGCTAGCTAAGTATTCGGCTTTTTTTCAGCATCGTCTCCTTTTTCCTCAGTTTGCTTGCTACTTGGATCCTTATGACGAATACATCACAACCGAAATTTGTCAATCCAGCCATTGTAGCCCGCTACCGTACAGGTACATCGGCGACAGTCAACAGTACCGAACACACTCAGGTTCCGTTTTACGGCTACACTCGCATTACTGGTACCTTGCATTGGATCCTATGACGAATACATGCACAACCAACATTGTTAATCCAGCCATCGTAGCTAGCTACGTAGAGTTCATGCATCGATCGGTGACAGTGGCAACAGTACCGAACACACTCAGGTTCGGCTTTGCTCGCTGCACTCGTTACTTCGCATTGGATCCTTATGACGAATACATGCACAAAACCGAATTGTTAATCCAGCATTTAGCGGCTACCGTACAGTACATCGGCGACAGTGTCAAAAGTAACGAACACACTCAGTTCCGCTTTGCTGGCTACACTCCATTGCTGGTATCTTGCATTGGATCCTTATGACGAATACATGCACAACCGAACATTATGAATCAGCCATTGTAGCCGGCTGCGGTATAGCTAATCGCGAACATGGCAACAGTACCGAAAGTTTGGCTTTGCTGCTACGGTTACAGGTACCTCGCATTGGATCCTTATGACGAATACATGCACAACCGAATATTGTCAATCAGCCATTGTAGCCAGTTACCGTAGAGTTACATCAATCGGTGACAGTGGCAACAGTACCGAAAACACTCAGGTTCCACTTTACTGGCTACACTCCATTACCGGTACCTTGCATTGGATCCTTATGACGAATACATGCACAACCGAACATTGTCAATCCAGCCATCGTGGCCAGCTATCATAGAGTTCATCGATCGGTGACAGTGGCAACAGTACCGAACACACTCAGGTTCGGCTTTGCTCGCTGCACTCGGTTACCTCGCATTGGATCCTTATGATGAATACACGCACAACCGAATATTGACAATCCAGCCATTGTAGCCAGCTGCCGTATAGCTAGTGGCAACAGTACTTGACTTGCGCATACAGGAAAATGGGTGCCGACACAGGAATCACCACCAAAACAGTAGGAAATAACAAGAAGGGATGAATCCGGTAGGAGGATCCACTCTCTTGTGTGTTGTCGAGTAGCTAGCCTTGCTCCTGTTCCCTTTCAATAAGTCGACGACGATCCGTTCATGCTGTTGGTAGGGCTGGAGTTAACAGTTTCCTCCGTACACATACCTCTGTAGCGGTAGCCTCTGCTTCCTCGTGTTATTCGGAGCGATCAATCGTTCGTTGGACCGCGACAATGGTAATTCATCGGCCGTCAGCAGTACAGCAGAGAAAACAACAAATAGATATGAGTTTTGTTTTCTGTGCTCAACTGCAGACGACCGGAGACTTACCATTGTTTTTCAAATTGCACCAACTTGGCCGTCATGGGCCGAGAACTGACTGCCTTCCCATGGTCCATAGGATTGAATGAGGGATGGCTTTCATTTCTGCACCGGAGACGGTCCGCTTGAGTGAGGCTTGGATAACAGAGGTGCGACCGATCGATTCGATTCGAATAATTAAAACAACTCACCTGTTGACGGCTGAGCTCGGAATTCTCTCCTGAATACCATAGAAATCCAATGAGGGAGAGAAGTCAGCGCTGTACCTTCAATTAACACTCTTGATAAATAATAGGCTTACCTCATTGCGATCCATTCGATCGATCGTTCCAACACCATCCTTGTCGGCCAAGCTTGGATTTCTCTCCTGTTTGCCATAGGAATTGAATGAGGGAGAGAAGTCAGTGCTGTGCCTTCAATGATATCGATGGACTTGAATCGAATCATTCATTGTGCCGTACTCAATCAGTTTATCCTTAACCTTAGTAACTTCAACGGTTCTTGTATCCACGAATCGATCTAAATCTTTCGCGATACACATGACCGTTGATTCTGCAACTGAAGTGCGGGTACACTAATTTACACAGTAAACGCCAGCCAATCGATTTCAGAGTGCAACTGAGGGGGTAACCTAAAAGGAGCATCGTCTCAGGAGACGTAATAGTGTGTTCCAACGTGACTACGTGTACAGTACCGTAGGGTTGGAGATTTCAAGGATCGAGCTCTGCCCCTGAAAACGTTTCCAAACTCATGGTCTGCAAGGATGATCCTTCTCCCGTGAGCTACTATCTATCATATGGTTAGCTAGCCTGTGCTTGGTCATGAAAGAATTCCTATTCTGATACCTACCCTACCTAAGCATCAATGCTTCCTTCATGCTCCTTATTAGCATCCTTGCATTGGCTTCTTCCACATGTATTGGGCACTACTAATAACTAAAAACATTTCTGAAAGATGGCAATCCATTTTGTAGTACTGTAGTAGCCCACTTGCTTGGAATGCATATTGTTGATTGATTCTCGGGTAAGACCTTTCTCAGCACACATGTATGTATTCAAGATGTTTTCAATATGGCTGGTACGGTGCCTGTATTGAAAATCGAATCTGCATTCCCCGTCAAAAGCAAGCAAGCAAGCAACCATCCATGGTGGGCCAGTTCAGAAAGAACTGGCTGGATTTTATTAAATAAAGAATGCTTGCTGACAGCCATCTCTCCTCAAGCAAATCGATGTGTCGACGTGTAATAAATATAGTAGGGCCGACCGTGGTTGGTACCGGTACGTATAGATGCAACAAGATGGTCCCTCCCCCAAGATGTAATAACGATCGGAGAATCCATTCCAGTAGATTCGATTCGATTCTTCTATCCGCAAGCAAAATAAATGGGAAGCAAGCAATGAACCTATCTTGGTCATTGACAAGATCGCTCCCACACAAGTAAGTGGCTGACTGGTGGTACGTACCTTGGGGGGGAAGCATGGCAGTCATTGGAATTGACACCCGAGAACGAGTACACGGCTCAACTACAGGAATCCAAAAAGGCAAGATTCTGGGCATGCATGGCTTTGACTGCATGCCCTCGGGCAAAGTAACTGGTGGGGGCATTGCAGAGCGTGGAAACTTTTGATGTGGATGCACACTTGCCCCAATGGGGACTGCCCCACTCAACGCTTGTCACATCGAAATCCAGAACACTCATCACATCACCATGCAAGCTGTTGCCAAAAGATCTCCCTTCTCATTCTACCGTACTAATAATATGGTACCATTATTATCGCATTGAGTAGGTTCTAGCTAGTGCTATTGATTGTTCGCATCTATTGTCTATATATTGTATGAATCATGATTCGGTTGGGTACACTACGGTCCGCAGGAAGAGAACTGCGTCGATTCTGCCGGTCGCTTGTTCCACTGGCAGTGGCGTTGACGGCCTATTCTCGATGGTGTTCTTGGTCGGGGACACATTGCCTGGCACTCATTCTGGGGTGGCAGGTTTTGCGACGGTATAATCAGCAACAAGAGTCTTCTCCTTCCAATACCAAGGCATGTCGTATAGATGATGCCCCTGCTGCTGTTGCGACTACTCGAAGTGTGACACATCGACGACCTCTTGACTCCCGGTGTGAATGCTACTTGACAACGGACAAGATCCCCGTGGCCGTCTTGTCGAGTATTTGCAGCTATCTGCATCCTCGCGATGTCACTCCTTTGGCATGTCTGAATCGCGCCGCGAAGGAACAATTCACTTGCCATACGCTCTGGAACGAACTCTGGTATCGCGATTATGGACGAGTCTTGTTGCAGTGGAACGTGGCACGAGACGTCCTTCAAAAGTCGTTGCACTGCGACACCGAGTTGGAATTTCGACTTGCGCAACACTTGCATTCGACACGTCACAGTACAAGAGACTTTTATTTTGTCTTTGGAGAAACCTATGTCAATTATCTCTTGGCGGGACATAATACCCGTGACAATTGCTATTTGGGATTGCACTCCCACATAGTCGATTTTGCACAGTTTGCCCATTATCATCCCGGTATGATTGATCCGGTCTTGTTGGAATGTGGCAAAGATGCCACCGAGTACTTTGAAGGATTGACTCATTCCCGTGGCGCACGAGCCGTCGCACGACAATTGGTTGTCGTTGTCAACAAGGCGTGTTGCGATTATGGCCGTGACAATGTCAACAATAATAATAATAATCAGCAGTATGGACTCGAATTAAGAGCACCCCCTTCGCAATTGCATCAATTGCTACGACAATCCAATTCGCGACCACTGCAAGAAAGCGAAAGCAACAACAACAACAAAAACAGCAACAACAACAAGAAAAAGAAACAGTCCCTCCAACACATCTTGCCGACCAAACCACATTCAAAGTTGCGACGGCCACCCACGTTACAACGAATTCGAACCGCATGGGACCAAGCCAAACAAAAACAAGAACAACAGCGGTATCATTATAACATGGACAACTTGGCGCAATGGCTCGGCAATGATTGTTGGCGGGTCTACTACGATCCCATTCGACAAGAATGGATCGAATGGAACGCAGCAGCCAAGAAAGAGTGATGAGAAGACATGGGGGAGCAGCCACGACAAACCTCTATATGGGATTTCTTTTGGGGGGGCAACGTAACGCTGGCAATGAAGAAAAAACGAATCACTTGCAGTATCAAGAGCGTCTCCATCACAACAGCAGAAGGATATCAGATCGATCTTGTTCGTTGTCGTCCAAAGTGATGCTCAGCCTGTACCATTCAAGATGGTACGGTAGGATTCCAAAGTGGATTGATCTTTCGCAAAAGTTTCGCTCGAGCTAGTAGCTAGCTAGGAAGTGAATGGGTCTAAAGCTGCTTTGTTTACAGGGCGCGTTTTTCGAATTTGTATCCTATAATATTTTCCATTTTTCTATTGTACTTGCACTCCACGAAGCACCTGGAGCAATCGTTGCAAGGGGCGACGCATGGTTGGTTGTTCATTGCGAGCCATTTTGTCATTGATCCCCGTTACGAGCTGCTGCAGCACTGAAGGCAAATGGCGCTTCATAGATTCATCCATCGGGTTGATCGACAGTGAGACCTCTTGCAACCACGCAAGTTCCGTACTTAGATTGTTCTCGTCGTTCACCGATGTCACGACACTTGTGCCCAGCTGATGCATGAGGCAAAGCAGAATTGGTTGGCTCAACGAGGGTACACTCCCACCCAGTACATCTGCCAGATCCGCGTGGCTACAAACAAACAACGCCATTTCCACTGTCGACGCAGACAACGCTTTGGTAAAGGCCGCTTCATACTGACGCACACTCAAAAATTGCATCACTTCCTGTTCCAATGCTGCCTTTTCGGCTGCCGCATTCGCCCCGGTCGACGAAGCAATCGATTCCGTCCTGTCACGTCCTCCTTGTTGTTGTTGTTGTTGTTGTTCGGACACGACCGACCGAAGATTTTCGACTTCCGATGCCAGTTGTTTCACCAACGCCGTCATGGTGGTCAACTGATTCGACATTTCCTCAATCTTTCCATTGCTGGCTCCTCCGGCGGCCTGCGCCGCCATTCCATTGTCCAACGACACGGCGATTTGAGAGAACATTTGGGTCGAGACGGCCTGGAATGCCGGAATCAAGACTGTCTTCATATTCTCGGCAAATGCGGCTCGCAACGGTGCTTCGACTTTGGCAGTAATGGCATCGACCAACTTGTCGTGGTCGACTTGGACTCCATCCTTTCCGATACTATTCATCGAAGCGAGGACCGGCAGAATGGATTGGTCCACACACGCACGAACTTTTTGATCCATGAGAGGAATGACTGTTTGCTGCATTTCTGCTTGGACCGCCTTCTGGATTTCGCTGGCGATTGCCGCTTGCTGTTGCTCGAATTGGGCCGATAGATCCACTCCTCCAGTAGTGGTAGTAGTACTAGCAGGAACAGCAGCAGTACTGGGTGCCATTCCAGGAGGCGGTCCCAAGGGAGCATCCGACTTGCGTTGGAGAATGGTGACATCTTGTCCGGGTGCCAGTATCTGTTGCTGCTGCGGCGGCGTTTGTTGTTGCCCCTTCCCTCCGTTTTGTTTCTGGTTTGTTGGAGACCTCGAACGAGACTTGTTTCCTTTCTTGTTGAATTTTCCCTTTTTGTTGTTATTGTTGTTGCTGCTAGGATTGTTACACAACAGAAGCGAATCAAAAACAAAGGTGAGAAACCGTTCCTCCAACGAGGCACACACAAAACAACACAAAACAGCACAAAACAAAACAAAAAACAATTCTCGAACGGTTCGAAAGGAACGAACGAACCAACTTACCCAGTTTGGTTTGGCTGCTTTTGTGCTTGCCCCTCTGGTGGTGATCGTGGTAGACTAGTGGGAAGCCCGTCCGACGGCGCATCATTGGGTTGTTGGATCGATGGATGATTGGGAAAGAGATCGGCCGGTGTGAGCATGGTCGTGGTGGCAACTGGTGCCGGTACAACTGGTGGCAGTGGAGCCACGACGGGTGGAGGAGGAATGGTCGTCGTAGTGTTGCTGTTGTTGCTGACGGCAAGAGCTCCCAACCAATTGGCAAATGCCCCACCACCAAAGTCTCCTCCTGGTGTCGAAACAGCCGCAGGACTATCCAATCCTTCCGGTACCGGCAACGCCGATGCTGCCGGCGGTTCACTGTAGTCTTCTTCTTGTTCGTCATCATCATCTCCGACATCGTACTCTTCTCCCTCAAAATCTTCCGAAAGGGCCGGATTGCTCACAGTCTCGAGAAGTTGCAGTTGTTGTGCTTGTGGCAATGGCTCGACCGTGACTCCATACGTGCTTGTTTCTTGAAATTGCGATGCCGGTGGCAAACACATGAACGACGTTAAAATCAAACATTGCACGACCGACGACTGATACGAGAACAATTTCATGTCAAACACCAAGGATCCGCCTTCGAGTTCATCTTCGGAAATATCGGCGGCGGGTGCGACTTGTGTCGACCACGAGTACATGGGATAGGATGTGACAAAGGGCACGACGTAATTGCATCCCACGAGCGTGACCGTATTGTTGTCTTGCCATTCCGATTGCAAATGCCACGTGAGTAATTTTCCATCAGTTTGATCGGCTTGAAGACAAAAGAGGGACGGGGGTGGTCCATCGGGTGGGGATGGAGCGTAACAAATGTCGAGTAAATAGGATGTGGACGGCGATTCCAATCCAAAGACTTGTAGTTTTGTGGGCGTACTGTCGGGTCCAAACGGCGACCAGAGGGTAATGACGGAATTGTTGTGCGCAGCCGTCAAGAAGCAATTGGTGTAGTATGGTTGCGTAGGAGCCGCATGATCGCGAGGACATTCGTGTGGTAAGAATTTGCATCGCGAGAGTGGTTGATCTTCTTCTTGTATTCGCACCAGACAGGCGGGCAGCATTGTACTGCTATTGCTAGAAGAAGAAGAAGGCTCTACCTTTCTCAAATCCCACAATCGAATTTCCCCTTTTGTGTGTACCGTCATGACGTGTCGGACATCTTTTTCGGACCAATCCAAATCGGTGAGACCGGACGTGGATGGTGGCGACAATTCAACGACTCCGTCCATAATGATATGCGGCATGTGGAACATGCACACGGCATGTTGCTCGGTTTCATGAGGCAATGTGGAAATGCGCGTGGTATCGACGAGAGAGGCAATCTTGCTGTTGTTTTCACCTTCGGAGTTGCTGCTGGTTTGTGTTGTAGTATGATGAATGATCCAGAATTGATTTGGATTAAAGGGATGCCAAATGAGTCTGGAAATCTGGTAGGCATCCGTCGTGATTTCCAATAGAATTTCCGACATGATTTCGGGCGTTCGTTCAAAGACTCTCCAAATAATGACAGTGGATTTCGTCGGGTCCGTCGTAGTACTGCTAGTCCCCACCGACCCAATCACATCTCCATCTAAAAAGACACGAATATCCGACACCACTTGTCCTTCGTGTCCTCGAAAGAGCGTCCGGAGTGTCGAATGACGATGGAGAATGCGAATCAAACCCTTCTTGACGGCGTAAATCACAAAATGCTGATTCACATCCAAGACGGTCGCACCGTGAATCGAGTCGGCTTGGAATAATCCTTCATAGGCGGCAATTTGTTGCGACTTGGGTTGTTGCGCAATCTCCCAAATGTCGTCACCGGGATCGTACCGTAACGATACACCCTTGGCGGGTAACGGCGTCGTGCCGTACGGTTCTGTGCTCATGATTTGCTTGCTGATGATTGCTTCCAACTGTTGTGACGGATCACTGCTTGCTTGTTAATAGTGTTGCTGCGCACTCGAGAGACCTTGGAGAGAGATCAGTAAGATCGAGTCTACTACCGTAGCTACAGACAAAGCAGTAGCGATCGGTTCGATATCCCAACAACACAACCAAACAAAGCTTGTTAGTCTAGCTAGCTAGTTGGAGCGCGAAGATCGGATGTGGGATGAATGAGCGGTGTGCAAATCCATGGTGCTGCTAGCTTCCGAGGAGAGGATCCATTTCCTTAGTCCAAGCAAGAATAGATATTATTAATAATTGTTCCAATTACTGTAGTAATCTTCAATCAGTAAAAAGATAGGCAGGGAAAGAAGGGTTCTACTCCTCCTTTGACTGTAAGAAAACAAATCAACTGGAAACTTGGCAACGCAGACCCAGAGTTCTCCAGTCAGCCTATCACTTTTACATAGACTAGACTAACTAGGAGAAATGATACACGGGCATTTTCTACATGACAGCACACCTTCCAAACAGGCTCCAAATGGTTCCTCATAGAGTACAGGTAGTCGCCTGGTAAGGGAAAACAGGGTGAAACTGTCGCACGGCACCATAAATTTCTATGAATATTTCATTTCGGTTAATACCACCGTACTGAGTTGCTTCAGTCATCCACATGATGTATGTGAAAATCTAGTAAACTATTATAGTATCTTATATTCAAGGCACTGCTGAGGAGCATCTTTCCAAAAAGATTTGAGCCTGTAGAGCTGTTTTGGGACTGTTGCTTTTTGCTTCGAAAGATACCATTTAGATCTTTCGGACTTTCTCACCTCAACAATTAAAATTGTCAATTCAGCAGTTCCTGTCGTTGTGTTTGTTGTGCAGTGAAGAAGTCTTGCACTGGAATACTTTCCTGCAATAGCAAAAGGATGGCGGTACACAATGTGTTGTCAAGCCTGCTATTACTACAAGCAGCAGCCTTCCAAGTCTTGCTGTTTCACACTCTTTTGACAACGGCCTTTCCAGAATCTCAAAATCCGTTCTCGGCAGGTCCCCACATTTCTGCCCCACAAAATGATGGCTGTCACCTCCAGTTGTTTGACAATGCCACATTGAATACGTACAGTCAACTGTCACGGTTTCCCTTTGACACTCCTCCCTGTTGGCAGGATGATGAATCCACAATGAAGGGTCGAGTGGTCCTTCATGTCCATGGTTCTGTCAAGGGTGTTCAATACGATCGGGCGGGAGCACTCTGGGTCAATGGAGTGTCCGTCTTGCGCATGACCACACCCGAACCGACACGGGACGGAATTGCCTGGAATATCGAACGCGATGTAACGACCTACGCGACGCTATTCCGTAATGGAGGACAAGTTCAAGTCCAAATCCCCAACAATGTCAACAACGTTTACACGGGTGTCATTTACTTGTCGGCCCATGTCGTATTTTATCCTGACAAAGACAACATCAGCCAACAACAACCAGCCATGATGGCCGACCATGTCCAGAGTCTGGCCCATCCCACCAAACACAACGATGCGTGGTCGGCCATGGCCATTCGTGGTGGTGGTAAAAGTCATCCGGCACAGACTCTTAATTTCACACTGCCATCCAAACGAAAACGAAAAAGTATCGCCCGGGCTCATATCGACTTGTATGCATCCGCCCATGCGTGCGAAGAATTTTGGTACACCAATCCTCCACCCAATACTGACAATGGATGTGGAGGAGGCAGTACACGGGCCATTCAACTGAAAGTGGATGGACGTGTCGCCGGTATCCAGCTGCCCTTTCCCGTCATTTATACGGGAGGCATCAATCCGTTGCTCTGGAGACCTCAAACGGGAATCTACAGCTTCCACATTCCGCCCTACTTTTTCGATATTACTCCTCTACTACAGGATGATGATGGTCCAGCAACAACGCACACACTGCAAGTCAAAATATTGGGCAACTCGGCCCAAGGAGAGTGGAATGTCGATCCCGTATTGGTGATATACTATGACGATGATGACAATGATGGTGATGATGCAGCTCGTCTGGACAACCAAGAGGCTGTGACGCCACCAAGAACTTCAATCGATCGATATGAATTCGTCTTACGAGGACCCACCGTGACAATCATCAATGCGACAAATGATGATGGCAACAACAAGACAAACATTACATGGATCGAGACTTTGGAAGCAGAGCTGACCATTGAGACTGGGAACTCAAACATCACTTCCAAGCTCTCGTCGTCCATCACCAACCAGTTATTGGGGGACAGTCTCCAAGTTACGTCTGCCAGCTTGAACACTTGGATGAATTCTTCCTCCTACAATCGGACTGAAGCCATGGAGTATCCTCTGAATGTCACAACCGAGTATCGAACGGACAATCATTCCTTCTTCATCCAAGCTAGCGTCCAACAAGGACTACGACACGCTATTACTAGTAGTATGCAGAGCTCTCCATCGTCAGAATCCTCGACTATTATATATCAAGACCAAATTGCGGCCAATGCCACCTACAGTCGGTCCACCACGCCCGATCGAACCGTGTACGAGCAACGCGGTGCAAGTGCGCAGCATACGACACTTTCCGTTCCAAACAACAAGACAAACTGTTTTCGGCAGCAGATTCATGCCAAGAATGGTTTTGTGACAGCCTTTCAAGAAGAGGAATCTTCTTGCGGTAACATGTTTTGCGCCCAATTCGACACTTGTAGTCCCAAGATTGTCAATGCTACAAGAACGAGCAACAAAAAGGCTCGTACACGACCGTATGAGCTTCGCGAGTACCATCTGGACTTGTTGGTACGGCATCCAAGGTCGCAGTTTGCCTTGCAAGAGCCTCCAAGTTGGGAAATGCAGCAACGACAACAAATAGGGTCCGTTTCTGACTGAGGAAAAGGCATTCCGCATTGTTTGATAGCTAGAGAAAAATCGTAAGCACAGCTTCCTGATTCGGTGTTTCCCCCATGGGTTTCTCTCCAGTCTCGCCGGAGAGCCGACATCAGATTGCCAAAGAAGAACCAGGCAGGCCATTGTACCGGTAGGATCCTTGGAAGGGGCAAGTCCGGCTTTTAAAGTACGATACTGTACTGATGATTTCGATAGCAAGCGAACTGACAATTGATATCCCTCCTCGACGTACAAAGCTTCCAATGATGATTTCCACCAAGAGTTCATAGGCAAGGGAACTACGTACTGCAACAGTAAGCTTCTGCTCTTCCTGAAGGTCCAGCTGACATTGGCTACAAAGTAAGCAACATAAAGCTAGCTAGCTATTTCCTTTTAGCAACCAAATTATATTGCGATTACATTATGACGAACTGGATAAGAATATGAGATGAGAAGAAAATGGAGGGGAGGGTGAAGAAAGCCAATACATTGCTGACAGCTATTCCCATTTCGGCAAGGAAGCCAGCTCTGTTTCCGTTTGGTTTAAAAACTTTCTTGTATAAACAAGTGATTTGATGCCACAAGCACCCATGGTAGTAGAGCTTTTTCTCTTTGTCCGTTTGCAGTAGTGATTGCTATTGCCAGGTCCAAATGGGAAAGGTTGTTGTGTAAGTAGCGCCAGGCATCTTACAGCTGCATGGGTTCTGGTCTACTGCCTCCTGCCGAGTGGTGATGGTTATCAATACCAATTCCCCGAGCTCCGTCCTTGGCTCTTTGCAGGGCTTCTGCATCACAGTTGGCCGCCAACCATGGGTGAGTCAAGGCTTGCTCCGCTGTATACCTGTACTCAATGTTGTAGGACAGCAGCGTGGAAACAAATGCCATGGCCTCATCCGAAACATCCCTGAAGAGTTCATGAGGAAATGTGTATTCCCCTTGAACAATGGAAGCCTTGATGGCTTCGTCATTCTTTCCGTAGAATGGAGGAGCTCCCGACAAGAGCATGTAGACAATGACACCCAAACTCCACAGGTCACAGGCTTCGGTGTACGACTTCTTGAGGACTTCTGGTGCCACGTAGTACGAGGACCCGACCACACGAGAGAGCCGTTGTCCCCGTGTAAAGTGCGTCGACAGACCAAAGTCAATCAGCTTGAGTGGGCTCCAGACGTCCTTGCCCGATTCGAGGACCCAATTCTCCAACTTCAAATCACGATGACAAATACTTCGCGAGTGCAAGAATGCAACCGATGATAACATCTCTGCCACAGTCTTGGCTGTTTTGGTTGGTTGAGTGATGGACAAGGAGACAAAGAGTTAGAAGAGAACACATACACAGACACACAGTCAACTAACTGAAGCGGCGCAAGGTAACGTACCAGCATACGCTTCCGTGACTCCATGCTTGGGATGGGTCGTCAACAAGTGGAACAAGTCACCACCGCGTCCCAGCTCCGTTATTATAAAGAGCTCATTGTCGACACAGAAAACGTCGTAAAGCCGAATGACGTTTTCATGCCCCCTTAACTCTCGCAAGACGTTAACTTCTTCCTGCAGCTTGGCAATGTACTTGGGATCATTGCGCAGCATGACACACTTGCATGCGAATTTTTTCCGTTTACCAGAGCGATTGGACTGGTGTCCTTCCGGTTCACCTCTCGAGGCAATGCATACTTGACCGTAGGATCCCTTTCCAATGACCAAGTCTCTGTGCAAGAGGTATGCCGGCCGACGTGAGGAAGGATTGCCAACTTCTCCGACATGATTTTGGGTTGGCGAGTCATTGGTTACGGCCGGAGGAGGAAAGGTGGGCTGAAGGTTGTCCGGGTTGGGTGTTCCCGGATTCTTGTGGTAAGCCGGGTGATTGACAAGTGGCGTTTGCGCTGACTGTGGGGGCGGCTGTTGTGACTGTTGTGAGTAGGGTCCTCCCGCGACTCGGCGACTGCTGGAACTGGATGGATGCTGGAACTGCACCGCATTGGAAGAAGAGCTGGTTGCACCGCCGTGTGACTTTCTCGAACGTGAAGAGCGTCTGGCATCTCTGGATGAGGATCTAGCGGATCGACTCTTGCTGTTGTTGTGGTCTGGATCTTCTCGCAGTGATCTGTGGCTTGCAGGTCTTGGAGAAGGCTGCATATTCAGGCTTGGGTTATTTCCCGAGCTGGAGGAGTACTTGGTCCTGGAGTGACTGTTTCCAGTGTCCATGTCCATGGCAACGCTAGCAGGAGAAGGCGAGTGGTGATGAGAACCGTGTCCGTATCCTACCATGGGCTGAGGCGGTGCCTGGTGGTGGTGTGGTTGAGTGTAGGTGGCTGTAGGGGGATAAGCAGCAGAGGCGGCCACTGGCATGTCGTTTGATCAGAAAGTAAGCGATAGAATCAATCAAAAAAGGGAAATGGTGCTGCACAAAAAGGCTTGATGAACTGAGATGGAATGAACTAAAAGCTCCTTCTATCGTCGTCTTGTGTCAAGTCAAGGTTGTGTGCTCTTGATGGATTGTGCTCTTGATCGCCAAATCTCGTCACTTGCCAAAAATGCCAACAAACGAAGCAATCTCCAGATCGTTTCGACAGTGGCGTTTCTTCAACAATGGAATCACCGACAGATGCAGCCAAATGAAAGCTTTCGACTCCGCGTAGACTCCAGTAGGATTCCTACAGGACCCAACTCAGACTCCGAAACTCAAAAAATGACAAATTGACGTTTCCGCTGTTGTTCATGAGCTAACAGACAGAAACAAACACCTAGAGTACTACAACAACTCTCTCTCGCTCTCGCTCTCTGTCCTGATCCTTCTTCTTGTTGTTGTCTCGCAAAGTAAGGCAATCCAAACAACAAGACAAGTCAAACCAACCAATGCAGAAAGCGTTGATGATTGATTGAATGAATGATTGGATCAAGAGGCCAGCCGATGTTGTCGATGGCTGATCAGAGGCACACACTCTTGCTTGTGAACAGTGGAAGCGAAGGTTTGTAGCTTGTCGGATGGCTGATGGACAAGTAGGCAGGGTCAGCCAATGTCATCTAAGTGAGTTCCAATTGACGTTCCTTCGGTTAAGACTGTGCCAAAGGCAATCAACGTAGACTCTGGTACTCACGTACACCCGATCGGCATACCCGCTCTAACCGTTCAATCACAACACTTAGTCAGCGACTCACTACTGATTCCGATACTAAGATATCGCTGCGACGCTACACTATCGACAATGAAGGGAATGGCGAAACGTCAGTCGACAATCTTCATCCTCAAACCAGAGAACACGGGTATGATCGCAGCATTCGCCGTCGCTCCATTCAATCCTACATCACTGGACAAATATACAATACAGTGGTCTACAAATACGGAGATGAACATATGCTGCCAGGAGTGCGCGCAACCTTTCTGCGATCATGCACCGGCATTGCTAATGCCAATCATACAATTCCAGCAATGACGAGCGTGACAGGTGACATGCCGGTGCGATTCGAACCTCCGCGAGTAAAATTCTCAAAAAAAGCAACGGCCATGGTGACAAGAGCCACAACGCACCTCTCGACGGTCGCAACGATGGTGCGGTAATCGATACAAATCAAAAACAACAGGCAAACGCATGGAATTGACACCAAATAATAATACCATGGCTGTCAAGTCGATACGAATGAATGCCAGAACGCTGTATCGGTTCTCGAGTGTCACAACACTCATTTTTCAACTGACAACGAAAGTCGCGTCGAACAAACGAACTCTTCCGATTCATTCGATGCCATCATCTTACCTCGGCGTTTCCACAATCGTCTTGTCTGTCGGCCCGATGTTTCTAGCTCTTCCTTTAACAATTGTAAAAGCTTGTAATGATGGTGCTGCTGACAAACCGATCACAATGCTGCTGTCGTCGTCTTCTTTCTCTCGGCCTCCACTTGCAAGAATTTTGAGTAGCGCACCTCTTTTTCTTTCTTTCTTTCTCACTAATCACAAAAGGCCTGCTCGTCACAATTCCACCACTGACTAACTACTGTATTATTACTGCGTAGTACCAGCAGCTACCGTACCACCAACACGGATCCGTGACAGTCAACGGTCCAAAGCTTGACCGTTCCGAAACCTCGCTGCCTCGTGAGATACCGGTGCCCTTCTAAATGCTGGCGGGAGTTCCTTCAAGAGCATTAGACCCGCACCTGGCATTCTCGAGGGATTAGAACGCGTTAATCTATGTAATTTTGTCTACCACCGAATCGTGGAAGACTTGTCCAGTCTAGCAATTAGATGTGTGGAGTAGCTGGGGAGTCATGTTCGATCGCTAAACGAGTCATTTGAAGTGTGACAAGAGTCAAAAAGCCTCCATGTATGTCTCGTTTGCGTGCATGTGGATTGTGATAGTACCAGTGTGTGGCTTTGGGCTTTTTCTTGTTGTATTGGTGGCTGGGGTTGCTTTGTCGCGCTTCCAGATATCGTACCATGAGTCTGCATAGGTGGCTATCGGTGCCACAATTCGTCTCTTGTCTTTACTTTCGTCTCGTAGGTGGATGCTTCGCACTTGGGAGCTTGAGCAAACTACATCGTTCCAGCCAAATCAACTGTTTGCAGCTCGACCAACTGTGCGGGTATGATTCAGCTGCTTCAAATTACGATTCTTCTTAAAGAGGAGGCCCACGAGGGCTCGGACATTCGAGTATCTATCGACATGTAAAAAGCACAGAAGCAAGGGGGCGTGGAAGCGCTGCTGTTTGCGGTGACAGCTCTAGCCGCAGAGCCGAAAATTTGAGTTTGGAGCATGCACGCGAGCCGTTCACGTTTTTCATTCCAGAACCTTGGATGCTCCCCCGAATCTTCACAGAACAGAAATAGATATATCATTTGTGAGTCTTTAAGTCTCTGATTTACACAGCCATAACTAAACTATGGGGCCTCTACCGGTACCGGTACCGGAAGTGCTCTAATAGCCACAGTGGCTACCGGTAGGTAGCTAGAGCTCCTCTACTGTAGCTATTAAATTAGTTCGCGAGCACATCATGAGGGTGTGCTTGGGTACCAATCATGCGACAAAAACCCCACTCTTTACTTACATGGTTCTTAGTTAAACCGGGGTTAGGCTCTACGACCAGTTGCCAATGCTTGTATTCAAAGGATGGAGATATTTCCAATACAGTACACAGAAGGTTGGTGTTGATAAATCGGATACTCAGTTGACAAATTGGGGGTGGAGCAAACGTACATCCGCTCATCCTTTGTCCTTCCTTCTCTTCTGGCTCTTCCTCAGCCATCAAATCTAATGGTAATCTCACTCTCGGAGGTCTCTTTCAAGAAAGTATGGCTCCATCACAATCATGAAATTGTGAGAAAAGCGGGGACAGATAGCCTGCTGGTGGAGTTCAATCCAATCCGAGTTCTTTCACCTTGTCGCTCCTTTAGTGACCAGTAGGCACATTGGTGCCATAGTCTACCAACCATTTGGCTTATACCGCCGAGACTTACTTGACCTCATAGCTGCTCTTTGTTGCCCGTCAGAAACCACAACGTTTTAATGACCAACCCCCGCAGAATCGAATCGATTTCGATGAACGTTCCAGGGTTAGGTCATTCGCCCAGCTCTCCTTGAGACGAGATGTTCCCGGTAGCGGTACAACAAAGGCATTCCCAGCGATGTCGGATCTCTGATCTTCGCACCCCAAGCCAAGGGAAAGCCCTATGGTGGATGAAAGTGCAGTCACATCATCTCAAGCTCACAATCTTGCGTTTCGTCAAACCAAAAAGCCAACAGCCAAAAACAACCAGCCTTGTTGTAAAACTCTTATATTTTCAGCTTGCGCCATTCACCATGGCTCCCACCAGATACAACAAGCTCTGCGCTGTTGGAGATACAGCCATTGCCTTGTTTTCATTGACCCCCAGCCCCAGATGTCCTTTGCGGTTGACAACATCGACAAGGCTACTCTCAGTTTACAATCAGTCCTGTTTAATAGGTTATTGCTGCCATTTTTTAGGATAGGCAAGGCGTGGGGCCCCTCTCCCCGAACCATCATTTTGTTCTTGCATGTCATACTTGGCAAGGTTGCCAAGGAATTAATTCAATGTCCCAGCCCTCTTGACTGCTGTGGAAACCGAATCCTTCTCTGGATATATCTGGCATCAGCTCCTTGACATTTTTGAAGGAGTATATGAACTCCTTTCGTGCTGGTATCCGTGCCGCTACTAAAGAAGAACGTCATCATGACTGTTTTGTGGTGTCGACTGGGGTTTGTGTCGCCCGGGCAAAAACCGTTGAAGTGCTGGGAGAAGGCTATAATATCTATGTTGTTGAGGATTTCTGCGGTGCCACGAGCAAAGCTGCTCGTGAAGCTGCATTGAGCTGCATGGTACAACCTGGTGCTATCTGTTAGACCTCTATCCCTTGCCTCCCTGAGTGGCAACGTGACTGTGTTCACCATGAGCACTACATGTATGTCAACTCGATGAATTTGCTCAAGCTCCAAGCAGGTGCCTATTGTGTTGCAATTGAATCTCCTACTCCACGGTTCACAATGCCCCCCAGGCACCAAGTTTCCTCAAATTGTACCCAAGGGCAAGGGACGCTAGGTTGTCTGCTTGCTAGCTAGGTCCAAGGTAAATGAATCAAAATTGCTGCTTGGTTTGTCTCTTTTTCAGTTAGCGCCGAGTCTCGCGCTACCTGTAGGCTGGAAGCCAACCATGATCATGAATTTGTTCTCCATCCGAGATCGAAGTGATGCGGGAAGTTTGTTTATTATCTATAGGTCTGTATCATAATAGTCACCACGGTAGCCGAAAAAACAGTTGACCCCAAGTGACACAAAGCTCTCATCCCTTGACACACAACAGCAGCAATGCAGGCACTTCGTGTGAACCCCTCAAAAGTTGATTCGGTTGATCTATTGTGGTTTGTTTTGGATCGTGGACACCACAGAAGGCCCCTTTTGCTCGTTACAATATAATATTTGAAGATCTCAACTTTTGTTGATTTCAAATCGATTGAATCATTTCAAGACAAACCAAAACAAACCAAAACACCGTATCAACAAACAGCTCTTGAACAGAGACTACGTTGCGAATAGCATGACAAGCAGAACGACGAGAGCGGCCAGCGAAGCTCCTGCAATCGTGCTGAGGACAAGTTCTCCGGTTCCCCGTTGCATGAAGACTGCGCGAAGGCGTCCGTCTTGTTGGGGCGACGACAAATCCTCAGTTCCCTCTTTGGATGCAGGGGGCTCCTCGTCAGCGTTGGTTTGTGAAACCTCATGCAATGTCCCTTCCTCGATGTCGTGCTCGCGGTGTTGATCTTGTGCAAACTTCATTGCTTGAAGTTTTGTTGATAGCGCATGGATAGATGACATATCGTCGGAGCCGTAGCCATCCTCTGGCATGGGTACTTCAAACGGCACTCGATTCTTGAAGACTTCCTGGCATTCCTCTTTGCCCAGCGGGTGGAGTGTGGAAAGATCTTGATTGGTAGAAGCAACGTCAACCTCAGATACATAATCCACATTCTGTAACCAACTAGCGTCGAATGGCTCTGGTTTTTGGTGCCTTTCATGTCGATCTTCATAGATGCGCGAATGAGCTGCTTCTGCCAGTGCTTCTGTAGAAAAACGCAGCTTCTTCAGTGGTTCGTCCTTTCGGCGACCCTTCCTGGAAGTCTTTTTCTTCTTTTTGAGACTACTCGCAGGCTTGGAAGGCTTTGACTGCGCCCTAGTTTCAACCGGTGCTTTCAGCTTTCCCCCCTTGGGACGCTGTTGGATTCCATCGTCGCCATGCGTGTATTCACTGCCCGTGTCGCTTGTAGGATCTTCTGTGGATTCCAGCGTGTCTGTATCGTGATCTTTCCCCTTGTTTCCCCTTTCGCTCGAGTGTTGCTTCTTGCTGCCGTTGTAGTGGCTTGCATCGATCTGTTGTTCTTCTTCTTCGTCAGTCGACGTGGAATACAGCTCGTCTTCGTCAACGGAATCTTGCCACATCATGGCATTATTGGATTGACGAGTAGAAACACTTTGCGAGCTAAAGGTTCCTTTCGACGCTCTTGCTTTTAGATCACGCTTCACACTAGAAACGACAGATGACATGGCTGATGCACCGTCGCTGCGTTCCGAGGCCGAGTCACCGTCATCCACAGATCCCTGCTGCGAGGGTTCATAGTCCAAGTTACGCAGCGAGCTGGTCCCGGTATGAACAGTCGAGGCGTCGTTCGATCGCTTGGGCATGGTGGCACTTGTTATTGATCGTGTTGGCTCTGGCTAGCTAGGAACATAATATGTAGCTGTTGCGGAGTGGTTGTAGTAATGGAGCGTCGAGTTCGTCTGATTTGGATGCATGAGCGTTGCGCACCATTTTTTGGAATTTTCTCGATTTTCCCCGCACGCCCGTCACTCGTGTTCATCATTTGGTATCTTTCCTTCCGTTCATGATTATAACATGCCACAACAAACATGAGGAGAATGCCCCAGCGCACTGGATCTACGGGTAAGCCAAGGCTCCCTGCACCCTGGTGTTGTTGTTAGCAAACTTTCCCCCCTTCTATTGTGAATACTAGTCAATTGAGTTTCACAATTACCGGAAGGTCCCAGTCGCAAGTACTATGTGCAATCCCTTTTATTGTCTCGTTGGTCGGCGAGAGTGCAGAAGGAACAATGGGAGGAGAGTATTCGGGGTTCAAAGAGAGACATATTATGAGGAAAGCGGTACCATCGAGCTTCCGGCTCTTGCAGTCTGAGCAGCAGTGATATTCGCTCTATTATTCAGAAGAGGGAAGGCGTCGACTATGCAACCCACGGCGTATGGTTCCCATTCCAAAGACTACTATCTTTGCTTCGTTGCGACAAGGTACGGTAGCAACGATTTGTATATGGCATGTCCCTGCACTATGTTATAACGCCACTGGAAACTTTGCTAGTTCTACCACCGCAAGCGGGGTGACCCGGAACATAGGATTGGAGCAAACAATGGTGAAGTAAGCCAACTCATCGTCTCAGCAAGAGCAAACCGACGTGATGGTATTGTGGAAATGAGGGTCAAAAGCAGTTCGACTCTTGCATGGAAGCGCAGCCCGGTGTTCGTCCAAGAGAAAGGCAATTATGCAGATTCTGGAGTTGGACCAGATGTTGTTTTTAGAGTGGTAGTTAGGCTTGCCGAGGAGCTGGGTCCTGGAGTTGTGACAGGAGATGGGCCCGTGAAGGGACCTGGATTTAGGTTCAGCCAGTAGTGTCCTGGTGTTACCACAGGTGTTGGTCTTTAGAGTTTGACCTGGAGTGGGGCCTAGCTAGCGCTATTCTCGAGTGGGGCCCCCAGAGAGCAGATTTGAGAGTTGGTACCGTATGGGTGAAGCTTTGGGTCCAAGCGTGGGTTTGGATTTGGCCTGGATGCGTGAATTTTTGCCCTGAGGTCGGACCCTAGAGGTGCGCATTTTGCCCCGGAGGTGGCGCGGACAATAGAGGTGCCATTTTTTCCCGCCGAGGTTGGGACCCTCAGATGCAGAGTTTTTGCCACCGGGGTGGTGTGGACCATACGGTAGGTAAAGGTTGGGACCCTAGCTAGAGGTGTAAATTTTTGCTGTGTGTGGAGTTCTTTGGTCCTGGCATGGGACCTGGATTTGGGTCCATACATTCATCAAGCAGTGGGTCACAGCAAAGGTCTTGGGTATTGTGCTGGCATGGATGTTGGAGTGGGGCGTACGGTAGTGTTGGACCTGATGCTAGCTAACTACTACAGTACTGGCTAGTAGTAGAGGTCTTATAGTACACTGTACCTGGACCGTCCGACGCTTTTCACTCAGGATTTAAAAATCTTCAAATTGCCACGACTGACAACATCTTTTGAACAACCCCTTAAACAACCCCTTAAACAACCCCTTAAAGCTTAAACATCCCCTTAAACAATCCCTTAAATAAACAACCCCTTAACAACATCCCCTTATATCCTCTAAACAACCCCTAAGCCTTCATTGAAACACCATACAACAACCCCTTATCACGAATGAACATCCCCCTAAATAAACAACCCCTTAACAACAACCCCTTAAATATTCAACATCTCCTTAATCAACCCCTTAAAGCTTCAACATCCCCTTAAACAACCTTTTATGAGAACCAGGATTATAATATGCGTCAGTCGTGCCCGTTTTTAAAGCCTGAGTGAAAACCGTCGGACGGTCCTGGTAGTCTACTAGACCGCTGGTAGCATCCTTTGCCGGGTTGCCGAAAGGTTCTCTAGCAACCTGGACCCTAACTTCAAAAACAAAGGTGAAGACAGTTTTAGATGGGTAGATGAGGTAAAATTAGGGTTAAAGTTAATATTTACTCTTCATGTTTGTATAGAAAATTGTATTTACCGCAACTACGTCCTTTCCAAAGTTGTCTTCCAACAAAAAAAACCGAGCAAACCGGTCAATACATAAAGGATACTTTTTAGGGAAGCGAAAATATTGGGATACTCGAAATTTGGAGACAGAGACAGAGAAAGCCAAATTGCTCGCAATGACTTTGTGTAGTTAGGCAGTCGTGGCCATTGATACTTACAGAGTGGTGGTATCCTTGCCAATTCAAGTGGAGAGGTCTAAAAGGCTACCGGGGGGCAGAACACTTTGTTTTTGCGGAAGCAAAGAAGCTAACCAGAGGCAGGTGTTCGGAAACAGCTTCATCACAAAAGAACATGATGTCATTGAGTCAATCTTGGTGCGATTAAAGAACGTTTTTATCGTTAACGCCTCAAGGAGGTGATGCAGCTTCCTTCAACTCCCTGTGACTATCGTCTCCTCTTGAAATAGAGGCTGTTTTCCCTTCTCCCTGCCAACTGGTGCACGAACAAGCTTCTGTGAGGATGACCTGTGACCCAAGTTCTATTGAATTCGGATAGTTCCACGTCAGCAACATTATTTTTTCGGACCTCTTCCCATCGACCATCTGTGCGTTTTGATGCTGGGCTTCTGGGCTTCGTATGTAGATTTAGTACCAATGTACAAGTGTAGTTAGTATCCTCGTATGAGAAATTCAAGCAAGAATCCGGTCCTTCTTTGGGACAAGTGGACGACAGGCGCGTCAGAATTTGGTACTGTAGTAGAATAGTACCAAAGTCCCGTAGGAAATGCTACGCAGGCTGGTTTTTGGCCGGCTGTTCCTTTGCAACTCAATGCCACTTTTTCCTCTCAATTATTATTTAGACCTCCATCTATCAGCTCGATTGGCTGCATTATTGATTTTTTGCCTATTGGTTCTTCTTTCATTTCACTCTTTTCAAAACTGCTTGCCTTTTGGATCATAAAAAAAAAAAGACAACCCCAAAACCAAACTCAACATGAGTGCTCTAGCGGAAGCTTCTGTGTTTATGGCGACGAATGGTTCCCAAGGGGGGACGCAGTTGGTCTCGGGCATTGCCCACAATGGAGGTAAGATGGCATTGTTTGTTGGCATGTTGTGTACTGTACTGTACCTTGTCTGGTGGGTGGAGGAGATGGTGGCCATGGTGCAAAGTGTTGGGAACGGCCCGTTGGAGGATACAAAAGCACCACGGAACAGAATTGCCATGGAGAAAAGAATTCGGTTGTCCATTGTTCGTTCCAAATTTTTGACCTCGCAGCCTCGGTAACAGGTTATCCGCCAATTGAGGTTATCCGCCAACAGGAGAAATTCTGCTTTCTCTCTCAACAATACTATTCTGACACTGATTCATTCTCCTTCACTCACTCACTCACTTACTACTATCACACACTATACACTATGATGAAATGACAGAACAAACTGGTCAACACCAACCCGACTATCCAGGTGGACTCGGCCCACTTTGAACCGTTGGGCACTTGGACGTCGGACAAACTCAATGCCAGTCGAGCGGCCAATCCGTTCTTGATGACATGGGTTCCCGGATCCGCACGGAACAATGTCATGAATGTCACACACGGCGAAGGCGTTTACTTGTATGACGACAAGGGCAAACAATACTTGGATTGGACGTCGCAGGCTGTTTGTGCCAATCTCGGACACGATGTACCTCGCGCCGTAATCGAAACGGCGGCACAGCAAATGGCCACACTGCCGTTTGTCTATGGCGGTGTCGGTGTCACGGAGATTCGTACTCGTATGAATCAACTCATGGCCGAAGTCTTGCCGGGAGATTTGCGAGCGGCCGTCTTTCCCTCGTCTGGAGCCGAAGCCAATGAAGCTGGTATTATGATGGCACGACGATTCACAGGACGACCCAAAGTCATTAGTTGGTATCGATCCTATCATGGAGCTACCGCTCATGCCGGTGCTGCCACGGGAGATTTCCGACGATGGTATGGAAGTGATCAAGTGCCGGGATATGTCAAGGCGTTCAATCCGTTTCCACTCTTTTTCAATCACGGTGGAAACAATGCGACCGAAGAAGAATCTGTTCAGGCGGCATTGAACATGTTGGAAGAACAAATTCTCAATGAAGGACCCGATCAAATTGCTTCCATCATGATGGAATCTGTGGTGGGTGCCGGTGGTTGTCTGGTCATGCCCGAGGGATACATGCAAGGCATTCGAGCCATTTGCGACGAATACGGAATCTTGATGCATTGCGATGAAGTCATGGTCGGATTTGGACGTACGGGACAAATGTTTGGATTCCAAAACTACGAAGGTGTCTTGCCCGATATCGTTTCGGCCGCCAAGGGAATCTCGGGAGCTGCCATTCCACTCTCCATGACGGCCTGTTCCGAAGAGATTATGCAATTCTTTGACGACAAACCACTCGGTTGGGGATCCACCTACCAGGCTCATCCCGTGGCCATTGCGGTTGCATACGAAAATGTCAAACACTTGCTACAGCACAACATTGTGGGACGAGTGCAACAAATGGCTCCTCTCTTTGAAGAATGCATGCAACGATTGGCCAATGATCATCCCTGTATCAAACAGTACCGTGCCATTGGAATGTTTGGTTGTCTGGATGTCAAGGATATGGATGGACGCAACCCCAAGTTGCAACACGAAGCCGCTCATGAAGCATTCAACAAGTACAAGAAAGCATACGCCGAGAATGGATTGGTCGGATTGCACCGATACCCACACATTCACTGTGCTCCTCCTCTCATTATTACAGAAGACGAACTCTTGGATGGTTTTGACCGATTGGATCGTTCTCTCACTGTCCTTGATGAAGCTTTGGGATACTATGATGACGAGCATAGAGACGACAACCAAGTGGCTGCTGCGGGACGATGACTCCCCCCACAAACAAACTGAATGAATGAATGAAAAAAGTACTCGGAAGAGAAGATTAAAATTTTGTGTGTCATCATCCCTTGCTTGCTTGCTTACTTTGTCCCAACCAAACCAACTGTTGCTCTGAATGAATTCAACATCATGATCTAGCTAAATAAAATGTTATAACTGTCACGTATTTGCATGAGATTTGATTTGAACACTCTGTTTGGACAATGGTTCAGTAGATATATAGTATGAACAACAAAGTAAAATGACAATGTTTCATGAAGGGTAAAGATAGCGAAGACTTCATAAAGAGGCAAACTGAATGGATACTGTAGTGACTATCAACTGGTGGTGGCCACGAAGGTGGAAGCCCCCTCCCATTGGTGATCTTGTCACTGACTGCAATGGGCAGCTGGAAGTCTAGCTACTAAAACTGGTATACCGCAACGGCTCTAGCAACTGCTCTCATGGCCAGAACTCTCAATTCTGCGTGGATCTGGGTCAGCTGCCACACCAAGCAAGAGGTCAACCGGTAGCCAGAGCTGGAGCCAGCTGCCAGTGATGTGATCCAATCAAACTCTCTCTCATCAACCACCAAGTAAATGGGTTCTCTCGGTACTGGGGTTGCTAAAAGCTTTCTACAACTAGCTTACGACGTGTTTGTTAGACATTGCATTTTTATTGCTGTTTTGCAGCGTAAAAATGTTGTCTTGAGGCTAAGATACTAAACTAGCTTACCATCTTTCTCTTAGACAGCGCATTTTTATTTTGGTTTTGATTCTTGTAAAGAGAAGATCGAGTATTGCGAAGCAACGATGATTGATCGATTGGGACATAGAGACCGGTACATCGCTCTAGCTGGCTAGCTACTAGTAGTACCGTATTGAGAAGACGGTCTATCCCATTCGAAACAGAAGGGAATGCACGAACCGCTTGGACGGTCGTTCATCACTATTGCATTGCATGCACTAGCTAGCAAGCCAGATCATACTAGTCAATACTGGTAGTTAGAGGGGAGATCTGTTCCATCTGTCAAGATGTACGATGAGGATGATTCCGAAAATGGCGGCAACAAGTTGCGAAAGAAGGTGGGCGGTGGCGTCCGAAAGGTTGCCCGCAACACGAGGAGAATGTCCTTGATGGCAGCTGAAAATATCCAGAAAAACACAAAGAAAGTCCAGGCAGCCGTAGGTGTCAAAGAGGGCAAGAAGAAGAAGAAAAAGAAAAAGAAGAAGGAAAAGAAGAAGAAGGAGAAACGAGGACGATCCGAGAGTCCCCGACGGGGCAACAATTCGTCCTCCAAGCCACCTGTCACTAAAGTACTCTCTCTCTTTAGTCCCAAGCGATGGAGGTCCGCCAGTCCAGGCATGGGCCGAAAGAAGAAGAATCGAGGAAGCGACGTGGAAGATTCCGATATGGAAGCTCCCCAACAAACCTTCTCACCCATGGATCCGGCTGTTGGCCCTCCCGATCCGGCCATGCCATACACACCCGCCAATGGGTCCATGATGATGGGGATGAACGGTGCGGACCCTGCAGCAGCAGGGTATGGTCATGGAGGAGGTCATCATCAAACCATGAATGCCTATTCCAATCACAATCATCATCATCATCATCAAGCAGATGCCATTGGGGTGTCGGTTCGCAGTATGACCAGTGAAGAGAAGTATCAAAGGAGTCAAGAACAACAAAAGATTGAACGAGCCAACCTGGTTCCATTTATTTCACAGCTGCTGCAGACAAATCATTTCCATCACTATTGTGATATCGCCTTTCACTTGGTCGATTCGAATAAGGATGAAACGGTCGATGAGACCGAACTCTATGCCGGGCTACTTTTGATTCATCTCAAATTGGGAAGCTGGTTGGGTCCTGCGGCTTGCAAGGTGGGTACATACATGTACATATACATGTACAAATACATACATTTATGTTGATTACGGTGATGTGGAATTGAATCGAGTTTGACCGAGCTCACCATTCTTCATTTTTTTGCCCTTCTAAAACAAATTTTGTTGGTTCTTGTTGGAGAGCAGCCTTTGAGTCGAGATCGGTGCAGTGCCATGTTTCACAAGTTCGACACCACTGGTAGTGGAGGCTTGGACCAAGATGAATTCAGAAGAGTCATGATTGTGCTATTTGGAAATGTATTTGCTCGGGTGGTCGTGCAATACACCCTCACAATTCTCGTTGTCCCTCTGATAGCCAAAACGGTGGTGGAGTTCCTAACTTGGGATATGCAAGGATGGTGGGACTATTGGACCAAACCCAAGAGGCTCCGGAAAATGGGTGAAGAATTCACACTGGATGACTTTGTCGACTGGAATGCCGCATCATTCCCCAGTACTCGGAGGACATTTTTCACAAAAATGTATCGAGTCATCCGGATTGGATCAGACGCGTTCTGGGAAACGTTTCCATTGACATTTGTGACAGTGATACTGGGACTGGTCATTGCTCCACTAGTGCTGCACTACTGTGATGATTTTTTCCAGGTGGCAGTGGATTGGAAGGCAAATCGCAACAAACCAACCGGCAAAAAGCGTTAAGGTGAACGATTGATTGATTGATTGATCGATCGATCGACCTACTTCGCTGTGATGAATGTCCAAAAATGAAGCCAAGTTGCAATGAAATGAATGAAATCCTAATAGTTTGCTTCGTGTGCCAAGAAAGATGTGACGGATGTAACAAGAAATTGGGCACAGGGTTCTGTGAGGAAAAGCTCAGGGGACAACAAATAAATGATCTTAGATAGGTGTGCTGGAACGATCTAGCGAGGGGTTCTGCTGCCTTGTTTGTACGTGTGTAGAAGTCGCTGCGCCTTCACTGGAGTCCAAAATGGGATGTGACTGGCATGGCTAAGAAGTGGCCGACTAAATAAATCTACATAGTATGTGGTGTAAATGTGTGTGTGTGTCCTCTTCATGTATTGACTCGCAGGTTAGTCCGCAACCAAACAGTTTCAGAGCTACTCTAGGACGATGAGGATGCTTCGCAATCGTCATTGCACCAGCCATGAAGTCACCAGCCGGCTAACCTCCCGTGCTGTTTGTGCCATAGAGCCATCTTGGTCGCATTGTGCCGGGTGCATTTTGTGCATGGGTTTTAACTTCTCTAATTAGTTGTTCGTTCTACATACCGGTTGGTCTGCCCTGTCTATGTTGCGAATCTGCAAGTGGCAGGGCATCGTCACCGAGACGCAGTAGCTTCTTCGCCACCAAGACACCACCAGTACAAGCTTCTTTGCACTTCAGTGGGCAGTCTGCAACGAAGCTTCTCCAATACAGAACCCCCTTTGATGGCTGAAAATCTGTTCGCAAGAAGAAGACCGAGCCACCATATCCCTCGGCTTTACGCACCTCCACAACCAATCTTTTAAAATTAGTCAAGTTCCGAGTCCGTCGACGAATCCTACAGCACGGTACCAACAGTTCTTCCGACCTGCTTGAATTTAAGGTAGTCTTTGATTGTCAATCAGAGCGCCCGTCATCCGTCATCCGTCATTACGTTACCTGCTGACAAAGGAGTTGAAACATGGCTTTCTACCAGGTAGCCACGATGTAGCTAGCCAGAGGTAGTAGTGCGAAGACGACTTGTCCCTGGTTTCTCTGGGTAGTGCTTCGGTGCCTATCAAGCTTGTGGTGGAGAAGGATTGCAGATTGCAGGTACGGTACTATTGTACGAAGACGTACTCAGTGTTGAGTTCCACTCGCTAGTTGATTGAACACAGCTCTGGGAGCGCACGTCCCGTACCGGTACCGTTACACCGTTACTCACGGAAGTGGCACTCTTCATTCGTGCGAAAAATATCCAAGAGGTCGGAAATGACACCTGAAACGACGATGTGTGTCCATCACGAATGATGAATCAAGCTGTCGTTTATGATAGACTCAGAAGAAGCATAGTGTACCGGTTCTGCTTTAGGTTCCGCAAGGGAGAGGTCGGATGCGGAAGAAGAAGCGAAGGTTGATTTTTCTCTGTACCGCCCTTCCCGCATGACACAAACGATGTAGCATTGTTAGCAACCATTCTTTTTTGTCTGGCTACAACGAGCTCAAAAGACCACGATGACAGGAGTAGCAACCAGTGCAAGTAGGGTTTCTAGGCAGGCTGCTCGGTGCTGGTCGAGGCCGCTGCCTTCGTTGAAGGTTTCAGTAAGTCGGCTGATGGATTGTCGAGCGTTCTTTGTTGCCGCGGCGGTTGTTTTCTCACCATCTTGCATCCGTGATGCTGCCTTCGGCCTCGTTGCCACTCTCGCTCCACCAGTCCAAGAATCATCGACCAACAAGGAAGGAATTTGCAAGTCCGACTACTGCCGCAGGAATCGACCCTGCACACTTTGAGCCTCTTGGAAGCTGGGCGAGTGAAAAGATCAACGCGTCCAGAGAATCAACCCCTTTCTTGATGACCTGGGTTCCAGCCAAGGCTCGTCACGGTATCATGAATGTCTCCGGTGGTACAAGGGTGAAGCTCAGTGAAAAGGTGGAACCGAACGAAGAAGAAGCTGCATAGCCTACCCTACAACCGGATGTTGCTTGCTGCCTGAGGAGCGACTCACTCTGTGCGACATATCTCCTTTGCAGTTTCAACTTATCCATGCTCTCTTCTTCGATTCAGTGGCGTCCTTGCTTGTATGCCAATACTGGCAACCGCCTACCCAAATACACATAACTTTGATCCATAACCTAATAGCGTAAATGATGATTTAATCAAACGGTCTTGATGCAAGGGTTACCGTACGATAGAATGCGATACTGTTGACGATTAAAAAAAGCTAGACCCAGACTGTCACTCAGCATAACTGACGTTGATTACTGCTTGGATAGATTTACAAAGGAGAAATATCCATGGAAGAACGCTGACATAGGACTGGCTGATGCCGATGATAATCTGGCCTGACGACAACATCCGACATGTCACATTACCACCGATTACCACCGCAAAAGATCACTCTAACCGTGTCGTTTAGCTCAGATCCGAGCAGCAGGACAGGTCATCAATGTCCTTCACCTGGCTCCAGGGCTCACAAACGATTGCTCCGCTCATGGAACGACTGCCCCGAGGATGCTGAGAAGAATTGATGGCTGGGAAATCATTCACGTCTAAGATCTTGGAAATGTAAGGACGGATTTGTCGCTTCGCAAGAACCTCGAGTAAGAAACTAAAGTCCCGCTCTGCCAATCGCCGATCCTGCTTCCAGTTATAGACAAAGTCAAACAAACTTGCACGTTTCAACTTCATGCAGATTGTCGTCCACTGCACTGCATGATTGATATCTCTGGCTTCTGGTAGAAATGTGTTGCTTTTGCAGTCTTTCTTGCCTTGAAAAAAGGAAAGGCCTTCGAATAACACAGATTGCTTCTTATGGTCCAAAGGACCTTCCTCACGGCAATCCAGAGCGTGGCTGGAGCAATCTTCACCCAAAAAACCCACGTAGCGCCCCTTTGGTGCAATGACTTCTTCGACAATCTGCAGCGTGGACTCTGTGCGGTCAAACGAGAATCCTCCAGGAGTGAAGTCCAGAACAAGGTTGATGCGACGTTTCAGCATGGGAGTCCAGTCTTCTGATGGCGTATCCAACAGCCGAACACGATAATCATTCCCGAATACGTTCTTCTTTGTATTCCCAACTTTGACTACCGTCACGTGAACATCTCGTGCGCCAGCCCAAAGAGCCAGTCTCACAGCAGCCTGCACACGAGCATCTACCAAACCCTGATGAGTGCTGGATTTGTGATGACCATGGGAGAGAATGAGGATTCTTTGCCCTTCAAAGGCAGCTTGGTCGTATGCATCTTGTCTATGGTGTCGTTGTCCATGGTGCAGCGCCTGAAAGGCTGGTAGATACGCTGCTGCAACGACAGCCACATCCGTGCTATCCAAATGTAGACCGTCCAAGGGAGGGACAGGCAACAAGTGTGAAGAATTGCAAGGAATGTAGGGCTTATGCGCGGCAGCTGACCACGCAGAAATTGAAGCAACCCGTGAACCAGGAGGGAATTTGCGACTGTGTACCGTGTAGCCCCTTGGTGGCTGCACAACACCGACAAAGTTGTTGCCCCAGACATATGGTATGTTGCTCTTCGGCGGCTCCAATGCTTCGGGAAATTCGGTGCCAAGAACAGTAGCCTGCAGAACCCGCAGAATAGTGCAACAAAAGGGGCGTGAAATGGATCAGATGCAAAGCAAGAAAAGAGTCAAGGTACCGGTGGACACATTACCTGAACGGCTACCAGCACGTTGACATTGCCTTCGTCCTCATAGGAAAGCTCTTCGTCGAATGTTTGAAGAGTCGCATCATCATCGTGATTGCCATCCTTGCCTTCAAAGTTCTCCCAGAGCCCAAAAATGACTGGAGCCCAAAGGCTTTCACATTGCCGTTGCCATTTTCCGAGGACCGTTGCTGGTAGGGACTCTTCTTCGAGCCTAGAATCCACACGACGAGGCATTGCAACGGCTAGTTGTTTTTTCTTGTTGTTGATTCCTTCCTGACTCTCCGAGAAATGACTCTCCTTTCCACTGATAGTAGAGATTGTACCTTGCTGACTCGTCCTGGATATAATACTATCTCTGCCACTACTGGAGATCGTAGTTTTCCCAGTTCGACTACTGAAGCTCAAATGACTCAACTGGCTCTTGGGACTTGAGGGTGCGCTTGTATTTCTACTAGATCGGTCCGTTTTGCGGCTTCTGTGGCTGTTGCTTTGAGTCGTTCTATAGCTGCTGTAGCTGCTGCTGGAACTTCGGCTGCTCAATGGTATTTTCTTGCCTCCCGTGCTCGGTCTAGGAATTCGTCTTCGACCTGGCGAGATGTTGCTGCTCTTGCTGTTGTCACAGGGGATCCCTTTTGAGCCTTTTATTGGTGCTCGAGAGTTGTCCTTGGCGCCACTTCCACTTTCCGTAGTCGTAATGTGGATCTTGGAGCGCTTTCGCACCCTGCTAGAGGATCTGGATCTAGCACTGCGCACAGACCCAACGTCGTCTGGAGGAGGTCTAGTGGGCAGTGTCGACTGGGACGAGTTTGTGTTGGAACTACCCGTCGAAATATCTTCTTCGCAGTCAGTTAGCACCACGATCGAGCTACTGCATCCGTCCAAAGATTGAAACCAGGTGCTGTCGTCGGTGTTGTTCTCCACCAAAAACGACTGAGACTCTGACTCCTGGGGAGAAAAGGACATGTAACTGAACGGCTGCTCAGCACTCTTAAGGCTCTTAGGGGGGATAGGTTGTTCCTCCTGTGTTTGCAGTCTTGGGCCGTCTAGTTCTTCTTGTTCTTCTTCACCGAAAGACTCGATGCTCACCTCTTCCTTGAACCGTTGGCCGTCAACAAAGAAGCGAAACTCTTGCGACGACACCCGAGTCATATCTTCCAAGGCGTCTAATTCTGCTTCATCATACAGTTGCTCCTCATCTATGCTAAGGGACTGCCAGAATGTATCTTCCAACGCATCATCGTGTTGCATGGTTGCCGTCTTTGTGAGGGACTCTTGGAGGGAACCCACAGGCGAAGGTGCGTAGCGACTTCTGTCCATGAGAAGATCTTGATGTGGTCGTGAGTCTTTTTCGTTTTGCGCCTTGTGTGACATGACCCGTAACGACGCGTTATGTGATTTTATCATCGATCTTGTTTTCCGCATTGGTGCAAAAATTTCTTCAAATGAGAGTAAAGCTGCCGTTGGGCTTCAGTCAACCTCGTGCAGCTCCAATGAAAATGTTTGCGGTTGGATCTTATCTTCGGCACGCCTCGGGCCAAAGCGCACCACTCCTCTCTCGACTCCCACCGTCTGCGACTTCGTTCCCAGTTGGGATTCCGTTTGGTTCAATTCGAGCACCACCGATCTTTGGGCCCGCAGAATACGTCTGTCACATGGACGAGACGGTGCGCTTTTTGTCCTTGTCTTTGGAGGATACACACTGTAGTCTTTCTCACAAGGGCACATCAGCCACCCCTCCGGTAGGCACCGGTACCGGAACTACCTTTCGTGCCAGCTAGCTAGATTCTGAACCGCTAGCTACCAGTAGTACGGTAATTACTTGTTCGGCTCGTAACCTGTTAACAGCTGCTTGGTTGCATGTGCTTGCTTCCGGATCCCTTCCTTTTGAAACGAGCGCTAGTAGAAGTGATGATTCCTACACATGCATGTACTAGTACCGGTACCTCACTTGCTTGTTTTGGCATAGCATCGCGGTAAGCAAGAAGTGAAGACCCGTGTGACACTCTATGTACCCTGTTTTTCGCTTGTACGGTATGGTTGAGCCACACGGCATTTTCATTGGTACAACGAGGTAACATCGTATGATAACGAGGTAAACACACACAATACTCGTGATTGGTCCCGGGGGCGGAGGTGGTCCTGGCCTGTCACAGCTCTCAGAGGAAGTTGGAGCCATTGTTTGCATCGTAACGAGTGATGAAACAGCTTTTCACGACTTTCTCACCTACCGTACCGGTACCAACACATCAATCAAAGGGTGTGCTTTTGTGTGCTTGCTCATGGTGAAGACATGGGAATGCTGCTTGGAATATTGCCGTTTCATTGCGTTTGTCTAGCTAGCTAACATGCAAATTACCCTGGCCTGTGTATCTAGCTACAAAACCGCCACCTCTTCGTCCTGAAACTCCTTTTCTTCGTTTTTGCCATAGATCTCCACCATTTCAGCCACAATTTGAGGCCCCTTGGTCTCCCACTCATTTCGGTTTTGATTTGCATAGCTCAAAAACTCACCAGAAGAGATGCCGAAGACACCACAGTCCTTCAACTTCTTCGCAAGCGGGATGATGTAGAAATCAAAGAAACCGATTTCTCCCTTGGCCCAAAAGTCTGCTGGGTTGGTCTTGGCACGGCCTTCCTTGTACGCAAAGTACATCTCAGCAAAGAGACGCTCGTTCCTGTGCACCACGGGATAGCAAAATAGCCAGTCAGCAAACGCGGGGAGAGAACTATGTACCGTACTGGTACCGCGAAATGAAACAACGGACGTACCATTTCCTGTAAACATGCCAATGTTGCATTGTGTGCGAAATGTCTGATGCTTGGATGATGTGCTCAATCTGCAGGAAGAAAAGGACGAAGTGGTTAGCAGCAGAGAAACATATTGGTGTTGGAAAGAAGCATATTCAGGAAACACTTACCACAATCGTTGCCTTCCTGTTGACGGCATCTCGGGGGCTTTGCTCTTCCACTGGATCAGAACTATTAACGTCTCCCTTCTTGAACGCCTTGTCCCAACGAGCATTTCGAAGAGCCTTCAAATCCTTGTCAGCAATGTCTGAGAGTCGCAGATCGGCAAGTTTTGAGCGCATAGAAATACAGGACAGGTGCATGAAGGCTGTCGGTACGCTAAACGTACCAGTTGCCATGACGGCGTTGACCACTAGCGCCCGGAAACGGGCACGTTCCTCTCCATTGCTGAAGATCGCAGCTCGCAAGTCACTAAACTGGTCTTCCATCAGCAAGTTCCATGCCAAGTCCAGGGAGTTCTAGTACATAGAAGATGAGCATTGTGAGGCAGACAGTTGTAGAGCATCATCGCTGCAGGATCCTTAAGTACGTACCTGTTCTGCCACGCTTCTGTTGTTGTATCGAATTGATGTCTCAGTCTTTTCCTCCACAAGCTGAGTGTTGGGAACTCCCAAATGGTCGACATCGTGGATGAGAGCTGACCAAGCACTGCAAGAGGCAACCCAAAGTGGTAAGATACGTTCATGTGCAACCAAGATCAGTGCGCCCTGCCCAAGTTGAACAGTAACTTACCAGGCAAAATGAGTTAGCGGATCACTGAGAGATGCAGGAAAGGCGACACGTGAGGGATTGCTGCAATCAATAGTCACATGTGATGGGCATAACACACAACTTCCATCACTTACCTGGTAATTCCGTATCTTTGAATACCAAACAAAGAGTCCAGTTGGTCAAGTGAGTAAGTTGAACGGCATTTTGTGCATGAGTCTCACGGGCAACAACTTACGTGTGATCATGCAGCGATTCTGATGCGGCAGCTTTCGTTCCGATGCCCCCGTTCTGTTGCATAATCTCTTCCTCCAGTTCAGCCGGTTGCACTATCCGAGATAAGATTTTGGTTACAGACATGACCACATGCGAGGCATGTTCAAAGTCTAGCCGACAAGGAGGGGGCTTGAACTGTGAGAAAAGTGTTGAGAGAAAAGTCGTGCACGCTCAACATGCAAACTCCTTACTGTGGAAAGAATTCTGATTGTACATTGCGGCGATTCGAGACACAACCATTCGCAGCTGAGGAGCGACATTTTTGTGGAGTTTGATAGTTTCTGGGTCTGGTTGTAGTTTGGCTACTGTTGTGTTGAATTCAGGAAGTTCGATGATCTCCTTGACCTCTTCGATGGGGGCGTTGGTCTTCTCAAGATTGGAGTCTGGCATGTTCGATGATCCTTTCAGATAGTCCAAAGCGCCGTTATGCCTTTGGCGAGCCATGCGTCTTGCAACCACATGCTTGAGTAGTTTCAGCAGGGTATCAGTGTTCCACATGATTAGACGTTCGACCTTATCGTCGGAAACAGCAATGGCTCGATGATGCAGACTACGTAGGAACAGGTCAGATGACTCCGACGGATCTGTTCCAGATTCAGTGTTGATCTGGACAACTGCTGGAGACTTATTCGCAACTGCTTCAGGCTGCTCTACCCAGTATGTGGTAAGCAAACCCTTGCCTTTGGCTTCAATTTGTGCCGACCTTGGGACCAACCAGTTTCCCATTCCTTTGTTAGTAAGTAGTGTCGCAGTAGCGTCGCTGACATGGATCTTTCCTCCGGTACCGGAGCTCTCAATGCGAGCACAGGTGTTTACTGTGTCACCAAACAGCTGGGAATTGCAGGCAAATATTGATTTCGTGAGACTGCCGACTGCATCAAGGGAATGCAATGATCAGTACTGATCCTTTTGAGCTTGCTTACCTGAAAACGAGCCTAGGAAGATGAAAGCATGAATGAAAAACTTAGACTTGCAACCCGAATCATCGAAGGTAGAAACATTCTTGATGCCGACTTACTCTATCTCCCCGCAAGACGCCGGCTGTAACAGGGCCACTGTCACAGGGAAAGCACAAGGCAAAGCCAAGAGGTAAGCAACACCTCTCAGCAAACACTTCGTTAGCGAAACTGCGTTCACTTACGAGTGGATTCCAATCCTGAGTTGTAGATCAGAGCAATCCGGACCAAGCTTGACTTCCATTCTTTGCATGACCTTTCCAAAGCTCCTGATTGATGCTGTGGCAAAGCGTGTTATGGCAACTACATGATCATGGCGAGGTTCCGGCAGCCCTGCAACAGCTGTGGGTTGTCTTTCGGTGAGTGTGCAAGTTCCTTCCAAAAAGTGCTGATGCCATAGCCTTGTCTTGGACTTACCAACGTAGCAATCCCCTGTGAATGAATCCAGCAAAAGAGTGTGAGAGAGATCACCCAATGTGGCTAAGGCAGTAGTGAAACCATCCTCCTCCGCTGGTCTTACCCACAGTCTCGACTTTGAAGATGCCTATCTTTCGAGCCAGCCGGTCCATCTCTGTGAAGCTCCCCTCCAGAATTTCAAACACTTGGCAGGGTTCTCTGGTGGAGGACCACGCAGTAAAACCTTGGAATCACAAACCATACTGCTGTGAGGTTGATTTTCTTAAAGGGTACCATGCTGTCACATGCTACTGGTATCACAACTCACCTTGGATATCTGCAACCAAGGAAAAGGACACACAATGTTTGGGGTTAGTACATGTATGGTGGTTGAACCTTCCCAGCACAAAACCCCTTGTTTTCTGTCATTTGTTGATTGAGGCTGGCTTGCTTACCTGCAAACATCACAGAGGTCTCCAAGTACAAGTCTGCCAGTGAATTGTTGCCCTGGTTCCCCCTGCCCTTATCATCATCAGAGTCCCCATCCGTGAGAAAACTTCTCATTTTGCTAGACTTGGTCATGGGTTCTCCTCCCTTGCTCCTTTTCTTGTTCTTTCGACTTTCGTTTTGCTGCATGAGCTGATCACGAATGTGTCGAGGGAACATGGATGTGACCAGTGCACTAGTCTTGGCAGCATTGTAAATCATGTTTGTGTTGCGCCGTTGCACAAAGACATCATAGCAAACAAAGACGACAGCAATCAACACAAACGTCAAAGCAACGGCAACCGTAAAGCCAATGGGAGTGCTACCATAGTACTGATCTTTGAACACTGTGCTTGGGTAGAGCTCCTGTTGTTGCGTTGTGTTTGGCAAGGCAAGAAGAAGAAAGAGTGAGACATTGTGCACAACTACAAACTACAACGACAGTCAAGGCTGCGGCATGGCGAACACACACACACACCATTTTGTAGACACAATGTCCCGGAGTACTGCTGGCATTGGGATGTGTCAAGAATGCCAGATCAAATTCCCTTCGATAGACATCGAACTGAGTGTCGTGGAGATCTTCTGGGCCGACGTAAAAGGCATCCCGCCCCGAGATTTCGTAGGTATAGATTTGCCCACATGTGTTACTCAAGACCGCGACCAATCCCTTGACGGTATCGGGCAATAGATTGCGCATGGAAACGTCAAATCCCACAATCAACTCGAGAATGGCCACCACATCACTGTCGGGATTGGCCACTTGACGATGAACCGGATGAAGGTATTGTCCGTGAGGAAAGTCGGAACTGCTGCCCTTGATCTTGGAGTGAAAGGCATCATGAGCCGCCGTGGAAAAGACAATGCCTCCCAACTTGAATTCCTTGATGGGTCCCATGAGCGTTTCATTGCCCAGTTTCAGAACGGCATCGTAGAGTGGTCCTCGTTGGTTATGATTCGTGGCGCCGTACGTAACCGGAGGGGGAGAGTATGTCCACGACACGACATAGTTGGGAAACTCGTCTTCGGCATCAAAGGTTCCAAAGTCTGATCCGGCACGAGTAATGTAGGGATGGTAGGCGACTTGATCGAGATTCTTGAGGCTCCCATAGCGGTACTGGTGTCCCTCTTTGATCCAGTCGCGGTGCATGTAGTCGGCGTATTCTTCAAAATCGAGACGATCGGTATGGTTGACAATGTTAAACACACCGAGGAATTCCGTCTGCGACTGACTGCGGGCTTCTCCCGCGTGGATTTCAAAGTCGGGGAGTGTGAAAAACGGCCACGTCGCGTTGAGAGAATGAGCCGTGGAGGAGAGTTGATGGGAGAAGGATCGGAGGGAGTTTCGAATGGCCGTTTGCTGGCGGACCACGGCGTCTTCTACGGTCAAGGAGAATTCGTTGTACTGAATGATGAAAAGAAAGAGCAGCATGGCAGAATAGTTAGCCGGGGACATTGTCATTAGCGCTGCTCGTACTGTACGGTAAGTCCTAAGTGATCATGTCCATACTTACCGCCGCTGTAAAGTTGTTCTCCTGCTCAGCATCCAGAGTAATGTACGTCAAGACTGTCAGGGTCACTGCCGTAGCAAAGAGCAACAACATCAAGACAATCCTCCAACGGTTGATGCGAATAGTGTCCTTCTTGGCAGCCTGCTCCACCTCTTTGACTTCCTGAGCTTCATCGTCTCCAACAGAGTTGTGAGAGCTGGAGAGGACCGATGTAGTGTCCCAGTTCAGAGGATCTTCTGCTTCTTTTTCATCCACGGGAGAGAGGAACTTGCGTATTGCGTTGCTGCTGAGCGTCATGGTCGATCCTTGCTTTTGGTACTGTAGTCAACCTGTAGTTGTAAATAAAGAGAAAATACTAAGTTGTAGTTGTGGTTGTAGTTGTATTTGTGTGTGCTTTATTTATTATCAACTGTACTTTGCAACTCCGGTGTATTAATAGCAACGTTGGATGGTCAAACAAAGGCGCGATAGGCGATGCAATCGCTTCCGTGCGTTTTTGCACAAGATCGAGGTTCCGTACACTAGTCAACCTAAAATTTAAAATAATTTATGACCTAGACTTCTTTGCCTGGTCTGGAGCTGCCTGGTTCTGTGGCAGCTTCTCTGCCAGCTACCGCGTGCAAACCTATTCTGCGGTAGACACTGGTAGACACAGAATGTTCATTAAATAGTATGACTCTTCAGGTCTTCACAGTTGAGGTTTTTACTGGCATGGCTCGTTCAACACATACCGTCGTACCATCGCTTATTATTTCTTTACTAAACACTTTAGAAACAGAGAACAGAGGAGGAGGATTGAGAATTGAGATATTGAGATTCGAAAACCGAAGGTCATTCTACAAAATCCAAAATCGTACTCCTAGTACTACTATTAAAAATAATGTTCCAGTATAATAGTAGCTACTCGGCAGGGCTGAGAGTGTCTTGGCTTATAAGTCCACTTTCTGCGTTCTAAATTTTAATGCTGTACCGGTACTGAGCTCACTACTGAGTAGTCGGAGTACTGTACCAGTACAGTACTTCTGTAGAGGTGCTTTTATCAACTGAGTCATTGATTGAACGCTGAACGTTGAAGCAACTGGATGACGACGACCGGTAGGATTTCGTGGGGAGTGGGGGTGTTGGACGGGGTCAACGTGTGATAAAGCAATGCGAACGTCTAGCTAGATCGAAATGCTGATGTTCAAACGGCACTGGTCGTACAGTCGTACCCGTCTCCATCAGCCATCCATCATAATATATAATATATTAATACATGTATGCTTCCCAGAACTTCGCTCCAGCACTTTTGTTCACTTATGTCTTCCGGTCTCACTCCGTTCTACGCCAACACTACTCTAGCTAGCTAGCTAGTAGTTTTTTTGCCTCAAATCGTTATTCGCTCCCGATGGTCACCCCCACCAATGGCCTTGAAACGGTATGAGTGATCTGATGATATTATTGGTTATGCTGCTCGCCGTTGCAGTTCATGCGGACGACGATGGAGTCGAGTCGCTTCCCCACCTGGAATTGCTGCCTACGAAACTACCGGTACATGTAGTTTCTGACTAGTATGAAATTGCAGACTGCACCATCACTGCTGCTGCGCCAGCAGCACCCCATGTTCGGCCGCTCATGAAGAAGTCCAGCCCATTGTGGCAGGTCATGGCAATTTCACTAAGCAATGCAGTCTAGTTAGCTGTGCCTGATGATTGATGATTGATGGAGACTGACTCTTGTGTTTGCAGTAACTAGCTAGTTGGTATTATTTTTTATGTATGTACAGTCTACCGGTACCGTACGTGTGATCCGTTGTTGTGCACAAGGACATCCAGGGGGGATAAAATAAATGAAAGTAAACTACTAGTCTAGCTGGCTAGTAGAGCCAGAAGATCCAAATCTTCAAAGAAAAAAGATCTTTCAAAATACGGATGACGTCATCTGTCACCCCAACTCCCCAACTTCATTGCAGCCTTTTAACTTGCAGCCATCAACCACCACCACCGCCACCACCACAGTTGCAATGGTTGTCAACAAACCCCGCACAAACCAATAAAGAATACCCTTAGCAGCAGCGCAGTAGAGGACAAAATCGCTAGCTAGTAGCCAGAGAAGACCAAGAGAGGACCAAGCCAAGGGTTTTGCGAAGAGCTACCAGACCAGACAATCCCAATCTTTCTTCCAACTATTGAAGCTGACAACAACAATGATGTTCTCAAGAATCACAGAATCTTTTCTGCTACTCTTTGTCTTGCTATTGTTGGATAGCGCACTGGCTGCTCCGTCTCCTGTCGTCTTGGTACCTGGAGATGGCGCATCTGTCTTGGAAGCGAGATTCGAAAAGGAGACTGTGCCACACATTTGGTGTTCCAAATCCACGCATGGCAAGTGGAAACGCATTTGGATCCCCAACCCTGTGGATCTGCTACCGAAAACAATCGACTGCTGGTCGGACACCATGATGCGTCATTACAACGACACTCATGTGTTTAATACCCGCGGTGTGGAAATCCGACCCAAACCAGGAACGCTCATTCGCAACACGTATAAGAAACTCATTGATGCCTTGACAGTCGTCAAGGTCTTGACCTATGATTTTCGAGTGGCGCCCAATCATGACTTGATGACAGAGCTGAAACAGACGGTGGAAGATCTTTACCACACGAATAATGGTAGCAGCAAAGTCACGGTGATTTCTCATTCCATGGGGGGCCTTCATTGTCACTACTTTTTCACACGAGTCGTAGATCAAGCCTGGAAAGACCAATACATTCATGCGTGGATTCCCATGTCACCGGCATATGGAGGAGTCGTCTACGGTCTCAAGCAAGTCATTAGTGGTGATCATGTTCACATTCCCTGGTTGACCAACAAGGATCTCGTACAAGAACAACGATCCTGCGAGGGCAGTTTGTGGTTGCTCCCTCGACCGGAAATCTATGGCAACGAAGTGTTGGTGCAGACGCCACAGCACAATTACACGGCCCACAACTATTCCACACTGCTGACTCGAGCCGCTGGCTTTACTGCATTTGATCATCAGTGGAGTTTTGTCAAAGACCTCACCGCGTTTGATGATGATGATCAGAAGTTGGCAGACCCGCACATCCCCGTCTATCCCATGTATGGGTTCAATAGGACGACAGTCCACTACTATCGATATGGCTCGTCCCTCGCGGAGGAACCAGAGATCATTAGCACCCTACAGGGTGATACCATCGTCAACAAGGCCAGCCTGGAAGCGGGCAATCATTGGTCGCAAGCCAAAGAACCGTTGGTGGTCAGTGGCATTGATCACACGGGCATCTTATCAGAGCCAACGGCAATTCACCGAGTACAACGCATTCTGGAACAAGCAGATACAGATACAAAGTCTTCCACTTTGCTTCGACTTGGCTAAGAGGTGACACGGCATACCACCAATCCTCCGACTGCGTGCCATCATCCTACAACAACTAAGTACTGCAATTGTTCGAACGCGTGGGGCTTCGATGCTACCGGTACCAGCTTTCTATCCCGACATCACACGGATTTCTCCTTTTATGGATTTTGGCTATATTATTACTTTTCTAAGCACACAACAAATGGTCTCTGCTCTACACACAAATATCAGGGTCGTTGGAAGCTGGAATCGATCTCTCATTGGAAGCAGGAAATCAACCTCACATTGGTGAATGGAAGTCTCACACGGATAGCTCGACCCACTGGATGCTGTGCCCTTCGGCCTTGTTCTCTTCTTCTTTGGGTTCGGATGAACCTCGGCTGTTTGAGTCGCCGTCGTCGCTAACCATTTTGGAGGCTTCCGCCACACCCGAAGCATCCGCAGAGCTAACGTTGGCAATGGAAGTGGCTTCGTCCTCGTGCTTGTCATCATTAACAGAAGGCAGCATCGGCTCATTCTCGTCCATATCTTGGCAGCGAATAATGGTGTCCGCTTGGAGCTGGGTCAAGGGAGATTCCTTGCGGAAACGGAGCCACAACTGCGTGATGGGATCAAAGCGTCCGGTGGGGCTCAAAATGGGCGCGCACAAGAGGTACACAAAGAGGCCGATCGCTACGACACCCAACAAAATCCCTACAATGTTGGGAAAGGCATCGTGTCCAATCGGGATGGTTCCAAACAAGATGCTGACAAGGGAGACAATGGTTGCATATGGTGCTTGTGTAATGACGTGCCCCAAGAGCTTGCAACCGCAGGACATACTTGAGATCACGGTAGTGTCGGAGATGGGAGAAACGTGATCACCTGCTACAGAACCGCTGAGGATACCAGCCACGGTCGCATAGAAAATGGTGGGATCTCCATTTGCAACTTGGTAGGTTGGGACGCACAACAATGGAAAGAGGATTGTCATGGTACCCCAAGAACTGCCTGTGGCGAGGGCCATGAATACGGAAATGATGAAGGAAATTGTTGGCATGGCTTGAGCAGAGATTCCTTGGGTGATCCAGCGGCTAAACAACCTGTCGGCACCTACTGCCGTCATTATCGAGCCAGAAGCCCAGGCAAGGGTCAGAACAATCAACGCGGGGAAGATCTTTCCCATTCCACACAAGAAGGCTTCGACACTGTCATAGACCGACATGAGTGATCGGGCCTTGGGTGGATTGGCAATCAAGGCACTCTCCTCTCCTTCGACTTCGTTGATGGAAACATTGTTGGCCAAGTAGTTGTCTTCTTGTGAGGCGGGTGCATCGGAATGAGACAGTCCCATGCAGCTCTTGAAGACCGTCCACGTCGGCAGGACAATTTCTCCGTCGTAGACAAACTGGAAGAGGTAAAAAAGGAGTGTAACACCAGTGGCTCCCATGGTTCCCCAAAGCAAGGCGCTGTAGCTGTCACTTGATTCAATCTTTTCAGTGAAGGACTGGGTGCCTGAACCATCATCACCAGTTCGAATCAGGAGGTAGAAGATAAAGAAGACCAGAAGGGCGATAGGTACGGCCATGTTCCATGCCTTGCGAGGAGTATCTGGGCGAGGTTCGTTGGCTTCTGTGTTTTCGTCTCCGCTGTGCTTGGCGCGGCCGTCGCCGCCGTCGTTTCGCCTGTAGACACGGGCCTTGCGTTCGGCGACAAGCATGGGGCCAAAGTCGCGTTGGCTGTAGATGAGGAAAGGGATGAGCACAACCATGAAGATTGGGTAGTATCTGTAAACGTTGTCATAATCAAGACGTCTTGTTGAGGAACGCTGAATGTTACAAGGAATTTGATTCGTCTTGCCTGTTGTCCACGTACCGGTATTTGATTGACTGCAAGAAGACTGCAATGGCGGAGGTGTCAATCGTGAGGTTCTCGGCTCCATAGATAGCCTCGAGTCTGCTGATCTCAGTCTGGATGAGTGACACTTCAAAGCCTACCCAGGAAGAGATTGGCGTCAACGAAGCGAGGGGTGCCGCGGTTGCATCCACAATGAATGCAATCTTTTCTCGTGAAATGAAAAGTAGATCAGTCAATGGCTTCACAGATGAACCGGTCAAGAGAAGGTTGGTGTAGTCATCAAAAAACACACAGCAGCAAATGGCAAATGTGGCGACCTGTCCAGCACGAGGACTCTTTGCATACTGTGCAATGG